CTTTGGGAAAAATCTGTTATCATATTTGATTTGGTGCTCATTCATTAGTGTCAATATATCTGATTCCGAAGTGACAACAGCACTGCCTAGCCTGGATAAAAGCCAACTCACTCAAATTAAAAAAACATAAGATCTCAGCTGCAAGTTTTGGCTTGTTGTGGAATCACCCTGTCAGCATTTTAACTCCGATTGAGAAGATAAAAGCGGCATAACAAAAAAACAAAGCATGCTTATAACCTAAAATATCAGCTTTTAAATTTCGCGCTAACTCAACATGCCGATGGAATGAAACTGTACCCAGCAAAGCCCTGGCCTTCCTCTCGATGCTAGTGAAACAGCAGACCTGGGGAATGCACAGTTACAACACCAGCATGTCACAGGCCAAATGACGCACTTGCATAGCAGTGGGCACGAGCCGGGCTGTGATCAAGAATAGCCAGGACACGCAGATGCAGCTAGGAGACAAACACTGGATTCTTCCATGGTCAAATGTCACAATGAACGTCAACGACACAGACAGAGACACAAACGGCTGCACATGTGTGAACTAGATGTGACTGGAAAGTTGAGCTTCATGTAGAGCTGGGCAATAAAACAATAATTATAATTATCGCAATATAATTTTTCTCAATAAAAACATAACAAATGTTCAAAATATCATCAATAAATGTTTGATTGAATTAATTACAATCACGAACGAATTAGCACTTACTTTTTGTATTTTTCTAAGATATTTATTTTGTTGAAAAACCAACATAATATTTTTGAATGTTCTACCTCAGATTTGTGAAGTGATCCACTGTTTGGCAACAAGTGTCACGTAGACAGGCTTATTCTATTTCACATGGACACTATAAACGTTTTTGAAATTATTCTTTTTTGTGTATTTTGTGCACCTTTATTATACTGGAGATATGAAAGGACTGTGGGTGGACAAATGTTCACGGCAGGATTCAAACTGTTCATGGTCACTGTCTTAACCCCAGAACAGTAAGCGCCAACTTCATGTCTGAGGTGCTTCACACTTTTACCTGGCACCTCATCATTCCAGATGTGCAGTTAAACTCGCATTTCTTACATGTAAAGAGATCACAGTACTTTAGTGCCATCATACAGGCCTTCAACTAATCATTATTAATTAATCTGTTGATTTCCCCCCCCCCCCCAATCGCTTAGGCAATAAATTCCAAGAGCCCAAGATGAAATTGTGTTTTCTGTCTGAGTAACAATCCAAAATTAAAAACCAAAACAATTTGTGTCTCAGATTTGAGAAGCTGCCACTTACAAATACTTAAATGACTTATCGATTATTGCCTATACATTTTCTGTCAATCAACTAATTGTTTCAGCTCACAAAGTTTCTTCCCTGCTCCAGCTCTTAGAAGTGCCTATCAACAGGTTGTCTTTAATCGTGCCTCTAGACATCAATCAGAATCAATCTCAGGGATAGAGTCGCCCACCACGGCTCCTTCTGACAAGGAACCCCCCCGGTGGACAGCTGTGAAAAAGGAGCGAGTCACAGTCTGTCAAAACCATAACAAACCTCTCTTGCGTCAATCTCTGACAGGCTGTCCCTCCGGGCAGTTGTGTAACAAGTTCAGACAGCGAAACTGCGGCACCACGGCCCACCACCTGCTCTCTCAGTTTCACCTGATTCATCACACCATCTTTACTGTGCTACAGCAAAAGTGTTGTGTTATTTATAAACATGATGTTGCTAGATGGCTAATTTTATGCCATGTCTTGCGACATATGATGGCAATAATATTTCAAACATTCCCCGCCTTACCACGTTTAGGGCTTCGATGTCTAAATGAACAAAGCAATGTTTTCAAACAAAGATTTGAATAATGAATAGTGACATAAATAGTTTAAAGCCTTTTTGGACTGATTTCGATTGGGATAATTAAAAATCCAAAACCACTACAAAAGGGAAGGAAGAGACATTGTGGGTGTCAATAACTGATCTGACAGCAAAACTTGATGATTAGGTGGCCTTTAAACAAAGAGGTTAGTTAACCAACTTCATCAAAGCGCAGTGCAAAATGTTAGTAACACTGAGAAATGTATTTTGGAATACAGACACGCATCTTTCATGCTTTGAAAATAAACTCAGCCTGCGGTACTTTCATCTATTTCTACTGTAGCGACTTTGTGTATTATAAAAAATATACAACACATAGTCTTAGCTCAAATCTAGTTTGAGTCTTGAGTTAAACAACTGACAGATAAATCCTTGTTAAATAAATATTGGTCAACTGTGGGACATTGGGGCATTTTCCAGTGTTTCTTTTTTGTCAGGAAATAACTTTTAAGTTGGAAGTATTTCATCATACATGGAGCGACACCAACAGTGAGCTGGTTGGATTACGAGGTGCAGGTCATATGTGCTTGCTGCTGTTCATGGTGAACTTAAACTTCCTACAGGTCACCAGGGTGAGGGACGCTTTTTACTTTCCCATCCTAATGTACCATTGGATCATGAGCTTGTTGCTCAAAGCTCAGCACAGGTATCCCAACAATAAGGAAACTTGGCAAAAGATGAACCGTCTCTACTTTGCACAACAACACAGCTTTTCCACAACAGTCTGTGTCATAAACTAGGTCCCCCTACCCATTAGTGAATATTTTGAGCTCTTACAACATCCGGACGAGTAAATGTATGAAAAGGATCTGGAAAGGACCTTGTAGGTTTACACACAGATCCATTTCAAAGCGGAAAGAAGCATGCAGAGCTTTGTGCATCTTCCAGAATCTAAACGATGTGGCGTTGCATGTATCTTAATGGAAGAGCAAGTTGACAGTAAAACCTAAAGAGCAGCAATAACTTGGTGGTTTACAGTTGGCGCTCAGCAACAGACTGTCAGTACAAAGACTGAAGGAAAACAGAAAATAAACCTGGTGATGACGGGGAGATGCCAAGATGATGCAAGAAAAGGCAAGGATAGGGACAGTCAAAAAGGAACTGATACGGTTTAGTCCTGCTGACCAAGGACATTAAAATGAAAATGTTTCCTGCTTTGAAAGTTTCAATTAGTGTTTATGAGAAGGAAGTTGCATTTCTTTAGAAAAAGGGAGGGAAATTTGACATGTAAGCATTCAAAAACGGTTGCAAAAAGGTCTCTGCTCATCAAGGATGAGACATATTTACTGTTAGACCAAATGAGGAACAAATAAAAGGAGGTTGGCAGTAACACAGATAAGTCAAATGTTGTTTGACAGTGCCTTCCAGCTACAAGGCAGCAGTCCCAGGACTGCTTCACTGGTATTTAACTTAACATCAGCACTCTGGAAGTTATTAGCACAGCATGTTTACACTCAAAACTATGACACACATTACTGACAGATTAAGACACTGTACAAACTGGTCAAAACTGAACAACTTCTTCAAAAACATTCTGAAGAAAAGTCTTTATAGGGAACTTGGGTGAGAAACTTATTGACTAAACACACTGTAGACACGTCAACAGCCACAGAAGATGAGACAGCAGTTTCAACATTGACAAATGTCTGCTGTAATGATAAGAGGTCAACAAAACATTTAATACTTTCCACTAATTCGACTTAACAGGGACACTTGTATCAGTGTTGCTCATAATAATAATAATAATATTGCGTGGGTTTTGGCTGTTGATGAAACTTAAGTTGGCAACTAGTGATAAAAGTTTGTTGGTTAGGAGTACATGCAGATGAAACCAGTGCCTCCATATCCCGCACCAATGAATCACCCGTATTGGGAATACGTGTTTTGAAAGGCAGTTTAGTGACAGTAGGGACATTTATGAGTATTAGTTGGTGTTGTAATCGCAGTGTTACCTTTCGTAAAGCTTGCACGAAGAGGCCTCTCCATTTGTGACTGTTCTCGTCACTTGAAAAGTCGTATATCTGCTGGGGCTGCATTGCTGTAGCGGCTCCTGGCGTTGCCGTGATCCGGGCTGAACTGTCAGCATCGGCCCCGGATAGATAGTCCTTGTGGGTGGGTCAGTCCAGGACAGGCACGGTGGAAAAAGTCCAAATGTCTCGCTTGCAAATACGAAGAGTATCACCAAACCACACTGCAAATGCGGGGTCGAGTCGGGTTAAACAGCGAAATATTAGCTACAAAATAATATAAGCACATGTAGCTGTAAAGTTAAGTCGTTAGCGTGGTGGCTAGTGAGGCTAGCCTGCTGCTGCCGTAAACACGGGACAGCGGCTAACTAAAAAGCTAACGGCTAATAACAATGTTGCTAAGTGTTATACTTGCTACTTGGAGTTTGCTAAAAAGCGTATAACAGGCACATTAAGTTCAATATTAAGTCACGACATGGGAGTACAGCTTGTTGCCAGCTAACTACAGCTACAAGTTATGTTTGGTTATTTGCTGCCTGAACACCTGTAACGTTAGCAGGCTAGCGTTAGCCGACTAGCTAACCAGTGCTACAGGCTGCAGCTGGCCTTGGTGCGCTCCGAGTTTTATGTTGTGGCACACGACCCGTTCAGCTCCAAACAAGGCACACTTTCTCCTGCGCTGTTTACGTCGCATTCAGGCATCTTCTCCGGTGCGATCGTGGACGCTAAAAATCCAACGTTAATCCCCAAAACAGCGATCGGTCCGAGGCATATCTGTGAGCAGGACAGCTGAAGAGCAGTCGAGGTGTTTTTTGGTTTGAGAAGTCGAAGATGTTCGTACCAACTCCGCTGCCTGCCTGCCTGCCTGCCTGTGGCTGCTGTTGCTGCTGCTGCTGCTGCTGTCTGCGACGCGCGTCCGCTGTCAGGCACGCACGCTGCGTAATTTCACATTTTATTGGACAGACGAAAAAACAAGGCTGGACTTCTGTCGCATTTCATATCGGTGACCCTTATTGTAGACAGAAGATTAATAGTTTCAGAATATAGGATCGGTGATATAAACCCAGCCTTTAGTTATTTATTAATTATCTGTTGTATCGCAGTAGTGTTTACAAAAAAAAATCCCCGTGGAAGCTACTACTATTTTATTAGACAACAAGATGCAAAAAAAAGACAGAAAAAACACTTTATTTCCATGTCATTATACAAGCATTCCCAGTAAACATAAAGAACAACTGGTTTTAGCAATAGCATCAAATGTAGACATATTTTGTGCTTACACTGGGGCTCATACAGCATGTTTGTTGCTATGATTCTGCCTCCTTATGGACAAACTGAATCAGTGCTCGACTTAGGAATTGATGGAGCTGCTGCAAACTGCTAAAATCCAAGAAAGTACAACTTTAAACTCAATGAAGTATTTTTTTTCTCTAGCAGAATTATATGACCCCCCCCCCACACACACACACACACACTAACAACTTATAAAAGATCCAGTGTTCTCAGTTTATACCAATGTAAATGATATCAGACTAGAATATTAAAATTTTGGCCATGCAGGCAAAACTGACAAATGCCCCAAACCGTCAAATAATAATAATAATAATAATAATAATAATAATATAATAATAATAATTTTTTCGTAATCTGTGCGCTCTGTAGCTATAACTGTGCGTTACATTTCCTTCCAAAATGAGATAAAACATTGTTTTTTTTCCATAGACCTCATGGTGGGGCTATTACAATCAACTTTCTTGTTAGGTGCGTTCGATATGACGGCAACTGACTTTCTTCGACTTGATAGTCTAACGTGAGCTGCAGGTGACTTCAGGGACGGGGAATAAAAACGGCGCCGTCAAGTCAGACACATTCTACCTGCGTCAGTTTATGAGCTGAGATTGCCGGACTCGGCGCCTGCAGCTAATGGTTTTAATGTCATGTGACATGGTGACGTTTTGCAGCGCAGGCGAAAGTCTGACACAATTTCTAACCAGCATGCCTTATTTCATGCATCACGTTAAGTCAACGCTGCGCAGCGCCGCATTAAGTCAAACGCACCTATTATCTCGAAAACGCCTTTGTTTTGAGTCAAACTTCTTTTTATCATTTTAATCTCTGGATTTATCTTTGCTGCAATGGTCAACTGCTCTAAAAATGTCAAATTATGTGACTTTTTTTCACTTTTGTCAAAAACCTATTTTTGGGAACCTGTCCCAGACTGTTTCGCCAATCAACCTGAAACTTTGGCAGGATCATCTATGGACGTCGCTGATCAAAAGTTAATAAAACAATTTTGATACATCAATCCGTTTTTTTCCCCATACATTTTTACTTTTGTGTCTTTATGTACCAATTTTACATAAATACCCGTAAATCAAAATTGGCTTAAGTTATTGTAACCAAACGTGATGCCTCTGTTCAGATGCTTGGTCTGAACTCTCATTCCAAACTTCAAAAAAATCTAAGAAAATCACCCGTATGTCCTAGAGAGCTGAAATTTTTTCAGCACATCCACTGATATGTGACAAACATTTGTCTAGCTGCAACCTATGGTCAACTCAGAAGTCAGTCACTCTATGTTTTTCAGAATATGCTAAATCAATTGACATCTATATCTCCACAACTCTTTCATTAAACGCTACCAAAATCAACACAGACATTCTCTAGATGGCCGATATCAAGTGTTTCAAAGGGTTTTTAGATAGGTCAAACGGTGAGTCTGCAGTAATATTCAGTATCTTGCCACAGTATGCACGACATTTTCTTTTTTGCTCAGATTTGGATCAAATACCATCAAAATTATTGACAACATCCCCAAACCCTGCCGAATGATGTGTGATTTTTTTCAGAATTTTCTCACCTTGACTGTTGTAGGCGTTTTAAGTTTAAACTGACAAAACTGTCCAGTTCTGGCACAGGACATCACTCCCTCAATTTGTGAGAAGGTGCGAAGAAACTTCCTCTCACAAGTAGCTCAGTCAGTAAGTCACCTACTCTGGTGATCACTAACTCCAGGGTTCAAATCCTATGGTAACAGAGTGAGATTTGCTGACAACAGAGGTTGTTCAGATCATAGTGAGTCTAATTTATTGGGATTGAGTGACACATTCTTCTTAATTTTCTCAGCTTAAACTTTAAAACTCTGAAACACAAAGGTGGGTTGAACATTTCACCCAGTAGTCAGGTACATATAATGACACTCTCTGATCTCAAGGTGTTGCTGCAAAAATAAAGTTTGCATTTCCCCAATTATCCCAAAATATCCAAATTCTTTCATCACTTTAATCTCTCAGGTCGTCTGCATCTGTTCTTCTCCTCTGAAAATGTCAAATGTTGCATTTTTCGCGACTTGCTTGGATTGCGATCATTGCCGCTTGCGGCTATATTTAATAATGAAATATTTTATGTTTGCACTTTTTCATACAGAAATGTAGTTCAGAAAATGTATTTTTCACTAGAAATGTGGTGATGTAAACGTATTCCACAACCTGAAAAAGCACCACTTTAGTAAAAATGTTTTTAAAATGTCATTTAGTCAAAGATATGTCACTTTCCACCTAAATTAAGGCATGACCTGTGATAAAGTGTCTCCATTATGATAGTGATGCTGAGGTAGTGACAGCTTGATACACATTGTAGTTTCTACAAGCTGGATTATAGTTTCTTCTAAAATGGATTATATTGGTTGTCTCTTCTGCGATCACCATATTTCTCTACAGCTTGAAGCGACTCTCCACCTCGTCTGCTATCATTTCAGCAATGGCGAGGGAGGAGGTGGCCGCCGGCGAGGGAGCATTACGCACATGGAGCACCCTACTGCCCACGTCCCCGAGCCCGCCGTCAAACACAAAGTCGTCCACGAGGTTTCCGTCTCGGTCGAGAGCCTGAGCACGAACTCCTGCAGGACCCCTGGAAAATGAAACAACCAGGGTTACAGAAAACATATAATTTATCCTCTTACTTGAACCTGCCATAGACTCATTTTAGTTTAAGCGCTCCCAGTAACAAACACCTGATACATATACTGTAGTGCGCATGCATCTTTAGGTCTTGAATGATTTCTCTACCTGAGCACGTCACTCAGCGAGAGTTCAGGGATGTACTTCTGCAGGATTTTAACCTGTGCACCAATAAAAACCCCTCTATACATTTCTCCAATCCCGTATGTTACGTTCCTCATTATCAGCTTCTGAAGGCCTCTGCAGAACAAAAAGACAAAGATTAGAATTACACTGTAATTTTATTATTTTAGAATCTGTGTGTGAATTTAAGTGCAATTTACTGAGAAGTTACTGCAGTGTTGCTATTGAAACAAATTCTTCGAGTTCTTTATTAATAAACATAATACAAAATAACTTAATACAGGTTCACTACACCAAGAAGAAAATTAAAAAACAGATTACATTTCCTTTTGTACCTGAATGAGATTGCATCTGCAAAGTCTCTGGTGTTGAAGTCATACACTTTGTAACCCTCCCTTTTGAAGGCGAGGACTGCGTTGGGGCCGAGCCAAACACTTCCATCCATCCGTGGGGTGAAGTGAACGCCAAGGAAGGGAAAACGAGGGTCAGGGACCTATATATATATATATATATTTGTTTATAGTAAGAAAAAGAAATAAAAAATGAAGTATGTATGCATTATTTAAATCCACCAAATAACAGTATCAGGAGACCCACTGATTTGTAGAACAAAGAAGGTAAATACGCATTTGCAGTTTCAAGCTTTTGTGATAGGAAAACAATTTATAAATACTACAACTGATTGCTTAGTTTCTTCACTTAGGCTGTCTGTTAAAATTAACATTGATACATGTCAACACTCACTTCGGTTCTTAGCTACCTATACCTCCTTCTGATGATGATTTTAAAGTAATACCAAAAGTTTGAAACTGGAAATATATTGTAGTCCTTCTTTGGAGTAACTCTACTTCTTACAAGAAAAGCATAAATAAATAATAAATCCCCATAAGTGACATTCTCTCTGCTAAAGCCTGCTGCAGGGTCACAGGTTTGGATTTCTTCATTTAGCAAGATTTCTACTGGTGATTTTCAGCAAAAATCCCCAAGTAGGGCTGAAAGTATTGTTGATGCAACACATTTTTCCCAAATTATTTTCAGCTATCGGGGATCTGCTAGTAAATCAACTAACTGATTCAATTAAAAAAAACTACTAGCCATTTCTTTCTGTCACTTGTGGCCACCAAAGTTTGAAGTTACAGAGCACAGATTTAAGAGACTAGAAATAATATACAACACTAGTATGAGAAGCATCTGCAGATCAAATTATTTGTATGGATTACACAATTGAAAGAATTAGGACATATGGACATACGGTTCTTCAGCAGACTTACAGGGTAGATATTTCCCTTCACCAGATAGTGTTTCTCTGGTTTCAAGACCAAATAATCTCCTCTGAAGGGGACGATCCGTGGCTCCTGACTGCATCCAGATATTTGTGATAGGCGGTCTGAGTACAGGCCCCCACAGGTCAAAACATAACGACACCGCACCTCGTTACCCTGTCAAAACAATACAATGCAAACAATGGAAACAATAGAACACAATCTAAACATTGTGAGGCTTTTATATGCGTGTCTTACCTTTTTGTCTCTGACCACGATTGGATATTTCATTCCTGCAAAAAAATAAATAAATAAGAGAGATACGTACTGAGGTAGACTTCAAAAAAACTCTACAGCTCTTGTTTAAAAATGACTGTGTTGACATATCGATGTACAGAACCTGTTTCTTACCTTCAGTGCTTCCAGCTGGGCTCTCCTTGACTATAGAAATGTCATTGACCTCAGATCCAGTTACCACTGTGCCGCCTGCCTCCTCAAAGTCTTTGCCGTACCTGAGAGCCACCATCCTCCAGTCCACAATGCCGGTGTAGGGCGAATCCAAGGCCATTATACCCTGCAAGCACGACACACTATACTATAGGCCTTCACTGTCATCTTTTCTTCTGGATGAATAGCAGCGGCGTCTCTGAGACTCTTACCCTGCAGTATGGCTCTCGCTCTCGGATTCCCTTGGCGTCGACAATACTGAGGTCACGCACATTGTTCTTCATGCCGCGTTCGTATAGAGCTTTCAGTCTGGGTATCTCCTCCTGCTCCACCGCCACGATGAGCTGCCAACGCAGATATTCACCATTCAATACCCAGATAGACACAATACAATGATCCATATGGCAGCTCCTTACAGCACTCAAAACAACAGTGCCCTTTATTTGCTGTCAGAGCTTTTTTCCCCACAATGTCTGTACTGCAGGTTTATTGTAATGTAATGTTCTTATGTGGACAAGATACTATAGCAGACCTTTCCACATTTTTTGTAAGGGAGTCCTTTCTTCTCGCAGTACTCATAGGCTAAAGTGGCTCCTCGCACACACAGACGGGCCTTCAGCGACCCCGGCGTGTAGTAGATCCCGCTGTGAATGACTCCACTGTTGTGGCCACTCTGGTGTGAAGCTGGTGAGCAAGAAAGTGACAGACAAATTGAAGAACAAGATCAGGAAGAAGAAAGACAGGAAAGAATGCTTTATTAAGATTGCTAGAGTTAACAGAAATATATATACTATTCCACTATATATATATATATATATATATATATATATATATATATATATATATATATATATATATATATATATATATATATATATATATATATATATATATATATATATATATATATATATATAATTCATAATAATCAATTTATTCAAGAATAGGGCTGCAACTAACGATTATTTTCATTGTAGATAAATCTGCCGATTATTTTCACAATAATTGCTTAGTCTATAAGATGCAAATTATAAATTTCCCAGAGCTCAAAGTGACATCTTAAAATTTCTTCTTTTGTCCAACCAACTGTTCAAAACACAAAGACATTTAAAAGACATAAAAGAAAAGCATCAACTCCTTACATTTAGGAAGCTGAAACCAGCAAATGCCTGACATTTTGTTGAAAAATGAATGATTAATCAAATTTCACAATAGTTGGCAATTAATTTTCATTCAATTGACTGATCAACTAATCATTGCACCTCTAGTGCAAAATCATGAGTAACCTGATATCTATCACTTATGTTTAGATAGCAGAGATTTTATCTGCAGTCAAACTTTACTCTACAGCTACTGTATGCACATGACATAATATTATCTTTGTTTAGTCAATTATCTTTATATAAACAAACACATGGTTTGACACTTTGGGAAATACACTTTCGACAAATTCTTCCCAAGGGGTAGGTGAGACGAAACCACTCTCATGTCTGTGCGCAAAATCTGAAGCTATAGCCAGCTGCTACTTAGCTTAGCGTAGCATAAATAGTTGAAATGGGGAAACAGCTAGTCGAACTTTGTCCGATGGTAACAAACTTTTGTTCAATCACTGAAGCTCACTTTTTAACATCTTGTTTGTTTAGTCTGTACAAAACCAACATGTAAAGATAACTGTTGTGGTTTTATGGGGGGTTAGTGAAGTCCCAAATTGTCGCACTATTCTTCTAAGGCCAAAAATGAACTGAAGAAGTCCTTTGGATGAGGGATGAAACGTCTTCCAGTATCTTCAACCAAGTCCAGTTGCCCTTGATTTTAACCTTCGTTGGATAAATCCCTAAAAGCTATTAATGAAAATGTTAAAATTTTAAGGGTTATTATTTTGAAGGCCACTAACCAAAGTGGCATACAGGCCCAAATTAGATTGGCAGAGCATGTAAGTTGACTTAAATATTTTGTTTTCTTTTTAAGACACTTTTGTTTTCTTTCAGTAACAAGGTTACATAGCGGACTTTAAGGCTGTTTGCAGAAGTTCACTGGGCGAACAGTGTAGGACTCTACCCGGTTTTTAATACTGCAGCAGAATGGCAGCTGTTAACCCAATACCCGCAAATTAAAGCTAAAACTTGGCACTTCACCCTCATAGTCATTGTTCAGTTCCAGATCCAATGTCCTGGTATACAGTGCCAACACAACAAAAATGGCTGCATTTAATCACTGTGACAAGCAAGCATTCAGCTCTTTAGAACATGTTGTTGTTTTCCTTCACCACAACAACAGCTTTCAAAACTCAACGCACCGAGCTCTTTTTCTTTCTCCAGCAGGATGAAGCTGAGCGATGGGTGTCGTAGAATGAGCTCTCTGACTGTGGCAAGGCCCACGATACCACCTCCGACCACGGCCACGTCATATGTGCTGAAATACAGACAACAAGATATAAAAGACAGTTCAAATTTAAGATAGTTACAGATAACCCACCAGCTTTACAAGCAGCAAAAGGTAGAAAGCAGGGCAGACTATCTACGTCAGTGGTTCAATGTCCAATAGTACATGATTGTATGGAGCAGCCAATAGACCTCTGAAACAGGGATCAGTAGGGAAACCCATGACACAAGTGTTGTAGTACACAGGCTATTTGTATCTACAAAGAGAACAGCCAGCTGTGTCACAAGGCTACACCAAGTTAATACATTTTTAAATCAAATCAATACAGACTGATATCTAGTGGATGGGCTCAAAGTGTAAGCAGCAGTTCCAGGATCTCCATAACTTTCACATAAAGAAGCATTAGCAAGGAGCTGGAAAAACACAATGTTAAAGCTTGGAGAACTTTTTTAATCCCCTGCCCTCATGAAAGAAAGAACAGACAACATATCGAAAATTAGAACCAGGTAATGTTTTGTTTCTCAATAAGAGCAGTAAACAATAAATCCGATTGAAGATAAAGGTGGTTAGGAGCATCACAGCTTTCCTGTCTGGGTGGATCATCATTTAGGAACAACTAAACAAGAATGTGCTAAAAGTGCAGGTGTCCAGGGGGAGATGTGGCTTCAAGGGTTTTTCAACAAGCAGAACAGGATTTCCTGAGCTTGTAAAAATGTGTAAGGTTGTTAAACCTGAAGAACATTTAATCTACTATGTGATGAAATTGGATTCTGATATCTTGTTGGTCTCATTTAACAAAGTGGGGAAGTTTGTTATGAATCAATAGCTTTACAGTTACAACATCTGGCTGCCTGTAGAGTCCGTAGGTCATGCTGCAGGAATGCCTTTCTAAAGGAACAGTCCCACAAAGCTGCTGGACGCTTCCAAAGACAACGTTTGTCCTACTACAGGTAAAAGTCAGACTATATGTGCTGCGATAAATAAAAGTTTAATGGGCATGCAAATGTGGACGGAGCAGGCATGATTAGGGAGGCAAAATGCAGAGACACAAATGTTTTGTGTACATAAACAATGTCGTTGGGTGTGTAGATCAGGTTTTGCAATCTGCCTCTCGGTGCATGAATAATGTCCATGGTAACGACTGGGATCAATTAGATATTCAAGCAGGTACCGGCTTGTCTGTCTGCCACTTTTCTAAAGTGATCCAGAGAGACAAATTAATTTAACTCCTCACATGTAACTGAACTAGACTACAGCACCCCTTTGTCAACAGCAGCCTGCTTTTGTTTGCTGTAATGTCATTCTCACCTGTGCAGCTGCCTGGTCGTTAACGTTATGTCCTTCAGCAGTTTGGGCTGCGTTGATAAAACAGCCTTAAAAGTCGCACCGCTCAGTGTCCGGATCATTGTCAAAACGTTTAACAGCACCTCACAGTTTATTCTTCATTGTTCAGCTGTTCTGTTTCGTGTTCCCTCCTCCTGTTCCAGCGACTCTACACTCTTAATATTATTATACACCCATCCGGAAAAACCACAGACATTGCCACGCCCCCTCCCCGACGACGTGTCACCGTTTGGACATCCAGCCAATAGAACAGCATGTTTTCCTGTACGTCACCAGGTCAAAGTGTACAGCAATGGACGCGTCCCAAGTGTAAACAGTCCGGGCTGCAGGTTGCCAGGTGAGCGGCTCGCCTGTGTCGCAGTTTCAGTGGTTTGTTTAAATGACGCGAGTCATTGTTTAATTAATAAGATGTGAGACCAGAGTAGGCTGTTAATATATTTTATCTTTATTTTACAGCTGAGCGAAATGAGGCTGTTATCGAAGGCAGTGCAGTCTGCTGTGGGTCAGAGGGAGTGGGGCCGCAGGCACTTCTGGGGCTGGCTCAATGCAGTTTTCAACAAGTGAGACAACATTATTATACAAGATTAAGGATATGTATGTGTGTTAGCTAATAGCTACACTGCAATGCATGGAAGATTTATAAAATGTCAAACACGATAGCCTCAGTTGACAGAACAAACATAGGCTAACCTTTTATAAAGCTGGTCAGCATACATAATTTTTTGTTGTACTTATGGTTATAAACAGAGGTCAGTAGAGTAGCTCAAACTTATACTCAGGTAAAACTACTGTTACTTCGTGAGTCACTCAAGAAATGGATGTGACTAGAATTATTTCAAATGGTCTTTCTCAGGTAAAGGTAAAGAAGTGAACACACACTTTGTTTTTAATTTGTGAAATTACAAGTCATCATCTCCTGATTAGATAACCTGCCACATTTACACCAGGACAATATTTCAATTATTATTAATATTAGTATAATATAGTCTGTTAGTACTCCAATAAGTAAAGATTGTTTAAAAATATAAATAATTTTCTTGTTGTCCCGGATATTAAATTTTAATTTGGAAAACAAATCAAATCAAAGAGATAATGCTGTGATGTTTCATAATTTATTGCCTATTAAATACAGGTATGTTCACTTCTTCCTTTTTACCCGAGGAAGATCATCTGTGGTTGAAACATTATATCAGTCACATCCACATGAAATAAGAGTAGTTTGTCTTTTTTTTGTGTGCATAATTTGGTTTGTATTCATCAGGCTACACCAATGGGCATGACTAATTAAATGCACACTGCTTTACACTGTTAGCTTGAACATTTACATTAAGGCAGAAAGCAGCAGGAGTTTCTAAGCATGATATACTGTGTGTACCTATTTATTATTAAACATATTAGCATAAACACAACAGACAGTGCTCTCTGTCAGCTCTGTGTCAGCATGGTGTAGCCATGCTGCACCAACATGTCTCATCCCAGGGCATAAAATACGGAAACTTTAACTAAATTTTAATTTGTAGCCTAAATATTAGCTGCGAGCACTATTTGAAAACCATAATGCTATGCTGTAGCTACAGCCATTATTCTGCTCTAATAGAGTCATGTGGATGCTTGACTGTAGCAGAGTAAAAGTACTGATTTTTCTCTTTAAAACTCCTCAAGTAAGAGTAAAAGTATGGTGCATTAAAACTACTCTGACATGTACCATTTACTCAGAAAGTTACTTGAGTACATGTAACGGAGTAAATGTAGAGACAAGTAGAAATCTGGATTAAAGCATCAAAATATACTTAAAGTGCCAAAAGTAAAAGTACTCATTATGTAGAATGGCCCATTTCAGAATAATATATGTTATTGAGCAATTATTAAACATCACTTTAATGTTGCATCTGGCAAAGGTGGAGCAAATTTTAATTTCTTATATGGGCTACTGCTAGATGCATTTTTCCTCACATACCATAAAACTTCAGTTAAAAGCCTAGTCCCAATTAGATACCTGTCCCTTTTACTAGCCTGGTGTCAGTACATATTTGACAAGTAAGTGCAGGTCTCAAGCAGACGCCTGTTCTGGTATTTATAGAAGTTCTTTTGATGTATAAAACCTCTTGAAGCCCATCAGGTCATCTTCTTGAGCTATTTCTAAGCTGCTTAGATTGTGCATATCAATATAAATGTTTAAACTTTTGTCAGTATGGACATGACCACAATTCAGCAGTTAGTTAGTTTAGTACATTTTACAGAAACACTCAGCACCAGAATATTATTTATTCAGATTTACTGGCATGATAAAAGAATTTAAGGGGTGTCCCAAATAAAGGCAGTGTGAGTTCAGTGAATTAAGCAAATAAAAGCCCTGGATGTTAATAAAAGTTTCCTATAATAATATATCATAAAAATGTATTTATGTAATGTATTTATTTGATGGTTATATTTTGTATTAATAATGTAAATATGCAAAGTAACTAGTGACTATGATCATCAAATAAATGTAATTAAGTAAAAAGTAAAAGTATTACTATTAAATATAAAGTAGCAAAAAATGGCAATACTCAAGTAAAGTACTGTAAGTGTACCTCCAGGGTGGAAGAAGTATAAATAGCAATAACACACTGTAAAAAAAACAGCAAACAACAGGAATCATGGAAGCGTTAAAAATAAAAACACTAAGAACAATAGCACCACCAATAGAACAAGCAATAAAACATCAAACACAGTAATAAAACATACCAATAAAGAATTAAACAATGAAACAAATGGTGTGGAAAGGTAAGACAGAGGATCACAGGTAGGTAAGACTATAAAGGTGCGATTTAAGAAGAGACTTAAATAAAAAGATAGACTTAGCCATCCTAATCTCCTCTGGAAGTACATCAGTAATTGCACTAAGTTAATTTCCACCACTGCGTTATACAAAAAGAAGCAAATCATCAACATTTTTAAGTTATAACCAGCAAATATGGTATTTCCCTTTAAAAACAACCAAATAAACAAACAGTGGGTGATTTGCTCAGGTCACAACAACTGCCTGGTGGGAAAGTTGCCATTTGGACTTGGATCTTGACTCGTCTCCACTCTCAGCACCAACCAAATGTGACTCTTCGCATTACGTGTCATCAGCACTTTGACTATTTGTTGGTCTTCACTCAGGGTGGACTACGAGAGGATTAAAGCCGTTGGTCCCGACCGAGCTGCAGCAGAGTGGCTGCTGAGATGTGGTGCCAAAGTGAGGTTTCAAGGTTTCGATCGCTGGCATCATGACTACAACGCGCTGCCAACTGGGCCTCTGGATAGATACAAGATCCAGGCGATTGACGCTACTGAATCCTGCATCATGTACAGAGGGTTTGACCACCTGGGTCAGTGTTACAGTGTGGAGAATATTATGTTCTTGTCCTGCTCTGGTTTCCATTTCCCCCATATCCCTGCGTATGCTCATTACACAATAGAAAAATAAATTAATTACAAATTAATTAATTAAGATGAAAAATTTTAGATATTTCATTGTAGCTACTTAGCTAGGTTGTCAGCATCTTAACCAACTACCAATTAATAAATTAAAATATCTAAAGTTAACTTGATAGTATTCAATAATTAAGAGCCTGCTGTTTGACAAAATATATGTGAGAGATTTGAGGAGATTGACTTAGCATTCAATATTTGGCAAATTATCATTCTAGCGTTAGCATGTTAACATGGCAACATTTAGCATGTAATGGTTAACATATTAGCATATTAACATGCATACACTGAGTTGGCATACAATGACCAGAGTATAATTAGATTTGTTTTAATACCAGGGGTGTTATTTGCGTTTCAGTGCGATACCATAACATACTTCTTTTGGTAGCATGGCCTACTTTGAGAATTACAAGAATGTTTATCCCTTTTTCCTTTAACAAAAGTAGCCAAAGCTAGCATCTTAATATGCTACCAATAACAACTTAAAATATCTACAGTTAACTTAATAATATTAACTGGATATTAGCAAATTAGCAAGTTGTTGTTAGCATGCCAAAATATAGCATTTAATGGTTAACTCATTAGCATGTTAAAATGCATACAGTGAGTGAGTAGGCTTATAGTAACTTGTTAATATTTAGCATGTCAGTATAATATGCTATACTGTAATAGTGGTCATTAGTTTATATGGTTATTAAAACCATAACAAAACATGAACATGAGTATAATTTTACATTTTTGGTTGTGGTGCTACTGGCATTTCAATGTGTACTTTTTTTGATACCATACCTTGAGAGTTGTAAGAATGTTTATCCCCTTTTCGTTTAACAAAAGAAGCCACACTTTTTTAAATGTTAAAGGTTGTCTAAATACATGTATCTGTACAATGCCTTAAAAAGAAGTATAAAGTTTCAATACCAAGGCCTCTGGATTTTAGAGGCCATAATAACATTTTTGACCTGTTGGTGGCGCTAAGAAGAAAAGTCAAGAGATCACCTAATTCATTAGGTTTCATCCTCTGGGAACTATCAAAGTCACTACCAAATTTAATGACAATCCATTCAAAGATTAAAGCTGAAACAGAAAGTGTAAATTTTGCATTAAATATGTTAACATGAGCTTAACCTCGACCGTTGACCTGAAAGTGATTCCTCTCTTTGTTAACAAGAAATGAAAGGCGAGGGTGAAAGTGCATCTCTCCCAGACTGATTATCCAAAAGTGACGCAAGTGAGCGGGATGATTTACACCGAGCAGGCACACATAGATCACTGTCCCTGACCTGCACTCCAAATTGTGTTGTTGTTTTTTTTGGTGCCAGAGTCCACACAGATTTATTTTGGAGCAAAGTCCTTCTTTGCCTGTGTAAATGTAATCAGTAGATGTGTTCATTCTTCTAGATGGTTTGAAAAATGTGGAGGAAATCAAGTTCAACAAGTGCATCTACATCGAGGATGCCTGTCTGGAGAGGTTGAGCTCAATAGAGAATCTGCAGGAGAGTTTGGGTATGATGGAGGTGGTGTCATGTGGAAATGTGACCGATAAGAGCATCATCGCCCTGCACAAACTCAAGTGAGTTTTTATTATCTAAAAAGAAAACAAAATCTGTTTCTTTGTAAAGAAATATTTTAAAATGACACTGATGCATCCTTTTTGTTGACAGAAAGTTTCCTAATTGCATATTATGTATTAATTCCACACAGGAATCTGAAGTATCTGTTTCTCAGTGATCTTCCTGGGATCAAAGACAAACAGACAACAGTTGACAGACTGCAGACAGCACTTCCACATCTGGACATATCTCTGGACCTGGACTGACTGGGAAACAAGTTCCTGTCAAAGATTGTAAAATATGGATGACTTCTTGAAGGTTCTTAAAGTAAAAATACCCAAAGTTTATGGAGGTCAGACTGGAGCGTGAGGGGCTTTGATTGTGCAACATGTAGATCCTTCAGTTAAAACGTGTATTTACATGTGAACCATAGAGTCTCTTTTAAATGAGAGAGCGTGAAGAACAGGATATATTTCAGTTGATGTGTCACTTTTCAGCTTTAAAGACACAGTTCACAGAAACTGACTGACTGAAATCATTTGTTTCTCCACCATCTTTTTCTGATCAGTGATTTAGGTTTCTACTTCCATCTTAACTCAGGTGGAGAATATCTCACCCCTCAGTTATAACATTTGCAGCAGAGGTGCAACGCTTCAGTCTGTGTGGTTCTGATCCAGTGAGCGTCACATTCTTGTGGATTCAAATGTTGGAGGGATACAGTGGAGATTGTCTTGGAGACGTTATAGGGAACTTGGTTATTTTTCAACCTGGAGCCTATTTTCCATGTTTTTGTATCTGTGTGACTAATTGGGACAACATGTTTTGAAATTCCATTCCTTCCTTTTTGTTTAACCATAAACGCTCTCTGCAAAGCCACAGACTCCCTTGACAGAAATAGTAATTTTACATCTGTGGTCTGCCCCTACCTCTATTGGTTAGCTTGTGTTATGATTTAACTTTGGTGTTTTTAACCCTTTAAAATGCCAAAGTTACACATAAACTGTTTTTATTAGTAGACTCTATTGTTTGTTTCTAGTTTAACAAAAAAGATCTTACTCTTTAAAAAAAGGTCTACCTCTGTAGGGATCCTTTCCACAAAGGTGTCAGATACACAAAAACAAGTGCTTTAGAGGACGTACTGTGACAGCCCTGTTTCGATGCTGCCAACTGCAGCGTGCTTATTTAATCCTGTTGTTCTAATTAATCACATAGACACAAAAACATGGGAAAATAAGGTCAATTTTGAAAAGAGAAGAAGTTACCCTTTAAAGCACTTTATATTGATGACACCAGTTTTTGTAATAGAATGAAGTATTCTATAGTTTATTATATTTTCAACATTTATGGTATTAAATGTTACTCCACATGTGGGTACACGGAGAAAATAGGATTCAAGAGTCTTTAAATAATTTCTCTTTAGATTAATTTGGCATTTGTACAGTATCTGAGGACAGACAGATGGCTGTGAACACCCTTAGCACCAGAGTTCCAGAGATAATGAGTACAATGTGGTATTTTTACTGCTATATGCTAGTAAATGTGAGTTAAAGGAATGTGAACTGTATTCACTCCTGATATGAATAAATAGTTTCAGAAATGCACAAAAAGTTTGTGTCCAACATTATAACTCGAGACAATCAATTAGACAACATAAAAGTCACTACCAAAAACATGTCGCTCTTACAGAGTCCATCGTATAAAAAATACATTTGGCAAACCAGGCAAGGCACTACGTTGTAGTTTTACCTTCAGTCTACTTAGCGACTACAGCAGAGCTGCACATCACTTCTTGTCTTTACACATCTATAAAATACAACAATACCAGCTTGAAACGTAGGCAACATACATAAACCAACACGTCTGAGTTGACATGTTGGGGAATAGTGCATAGACAGTAATATCAAGAGACACCCAACACGGCCCACGTCATAAACAGACACCTTTTTTAAAATAAGTGGTTGAATCCTCTTGTTAAAAACCAAGGTGCTACCAGAATCTGCTTCATTTCCTGAGCTTTTCAGAAAATTCTGCTTGTCGAGGCTTTAATTCAACTTGTGAGCAGCGTATTTAGATGTTCGGTAGGTGATAGTTGAACTTGCGCAGGTTGTTGTAGTACTTCTTATTGTCCACAGCTGGAAAGATGCCGCTGCTGGTCAGCTGTGGCAAATACTGGATTGAGAAAAAAAGAAGACAAAAACTTTCAGCGGCAATAAAGTATTTTTACATGGATACAGTTAATTGATATCTAGTCATTAGAAAGGGTTCTCTTTGTTTGCAAAATTTAACTAAATTGAGAGATGTATTTTATTCATGTCAAGTAGTTTCATATTTCTATTGCAGTGTATGATTATTATTATTACGACTGTTAACCCCTTCAGAAAAAAAAACTACAGGTTTCAAGATAATCTGCAAATCAAGTTAACCAAAATTCCCTTATCAAACTTTTGAGAGTTTGACCTTTATATATCAATGCATTGAATTGCATCATGCATTACTGATACCTAATATTAGAAAATGTTGTTCCTTTTTTACTTGCAAAGCGTACATTTTTATGAATTAATTTCAAAGAAAACACACTTTTGCTTGCAGATTTTGACATTAGCCCTGTGTTTTAAGCCCAGTCATTACTCTTCGTTAAGAAGGCTACTGACCCCGGGAGGAAGGTGTTTGCGAGGGAAACGTGTCCTCCTGTTGCTGGAGCGCTCCTGCTCCCAAGAGGTCTTCTCGCTCTTTTCTCGCAGGCTGTCGAAGTACGGATGCTGGAGAAGCTGCTCGCAAGTCAGCCGCTCGGACGGGTCCATTCTCAGACAACCCTAAACCATCAACAAGAGACGGGAGACAGTGAAGGTTAGAGCCAGGCAACCTGGTTTCCCCATGAGATCTGTTTTTTCTTTGACCAGTAGCAGCTGCAACAAAACTGGCTAGTTATGGCCAAGATTATACAAGTAAATAAACATGATGGCAAGTTTACTCTGGTTATTTGGGAACACACAGCACTTTACACAGTTTCTGATTTGTTTTACATGCATTAATGAAATTTTTACACATGTATAACTTAAAACAATAAAGAAATGTAGTAAAACATCCACATTTCACTGGATTAAAATCCAACCTTTAACTAACAAAGCTTGTGTATTTTGTTTTTGAGATTGAATTCAGGTTTAACTCTGGTGATAACAGATTACAAGATTACAAACATCTCCACCATCTCTTAGATTAAAGATGACATCGTTACCTTCATGAGACTCAGAGCTTGATGTGAGAGATTTAGATATTTCTGCTCCAAAGGTTCCTACAGAAAAAAAAACAATACAAAGACTCAGCATGTTTTTGATTTTACTGCTTTAAATGTGATGGCTAAATCAATTTCACTTTTGAGCACATTTCCATGTATTGGGTGGTGAGCCTTACCATCTCTTGTGGCTCTGGGATGGAAACTCCACAGAAGAACTGGTTGTTGCTGAAGACGTGCTGATGCCGAGGGATCAGATCTCCTGCAGGGGACAAGAAAGATGAACATTACACTACAATGTTTAGAAAATCAAACTCATTTTGTCCATTTCTTTCCCCTTTCAAATGGCTCCTGTGAATGTATTTAAGGTTTGTAGTATTTATCCAAATGTTTATAGATATTTTACAATTTGTCTGTCTTCCATAACCTTCCAAAGTATCCAAAATACAAAAACTCTCCTGTTTCAGAACTTCAGAACATCGTTTCATCACAGTATAAGTGATGAAAGACAATACATTACTCATTAATCATCCTCAGTCACAAACATCAGAGTCCACTACTTTGAAGCAAAGCCGACTGATCGTACCGAGAGTCTTTCTGATCAGGTACAGCTGGTCCATGTCAGACTTCCCGGGCCACAGCGGGATCCCTGAGAGCAGCTCAGCGAACACGCAACCGATCGCCCACACATCCACCGGAGGGCCATACTGAGTGTCCCCCACAAGCAGCTCAGGGGCCCGGTACCAACGAGTCGCCACATAGTCTGTGTAGTAGTCACACGGACCGGCTGATGGCACAAACCACAGAAACACATGACATAAGGTATGTGCAGAATGAGCTCTATGGTCATGATGAAGGTTAAAGAAAACATGCGTTGATGTGTAATGAACCACTATGTTCTACAAACCACACAACCACTCCATTTACTTTTGTGTTGAAGACACAAAGATTAGTCGAATATCCTGGTATTATTTAAATCCATGTATTGTCCTCTTAAATAATGAAGGTCTGTAAAACCATTAGTATGCTTTCTGTATTCAGTATTAATGTCCATGAGTATTTGTTTAGTAACGCAGATACTTTTCAATCTCCCAAACCTTTTGGCTTAAAACAAAACACAATTTATGACTCGCTGTCTCAGGGTACATAAACAGAGATTTTCCCTTCACAGATTGCCACATTTGAATAATTCAATGGGGGGGGGGGGATTTAATCATTTCATAACTCCTCAAATTATTCATGGGGGGTCCTGAACTTGCTCTCTTTTCAATTACATTTTAATCTGAGAGTTATTGAGATTCTACAAAAAACTTTTTGAAGGTTGCAGACGGCTCCTCATGCTGTTCAAATGATTACCTTCTTAAAAACTTCTTTTAATACTGCAGTATATCAGAGATCTCCTGTGACTCCATCTGCATACAGTAAACTCAACAAAGCGGTCCCTAAGGCATTTCTAACCAGACAAAAAAAAAATACTTTTGATTTCCTGGCTGGAAAAAGTACATATTCTAAGACAATGATTAGGTGCTGCTTAATACTTCAAAACTTCCTTTAAACACAACCTCCACCAGGTGGCGCTGTAAAATATGTAAAAACTGCTGATAAAGTCCTAAAACTTACTAAGAATCCTGGCAAACCCAAAGTCACAGAGTTTGATGACTTGGTGTTTGGTGATGAGAATATTTTCTGGCTTGACGTCTCGGTGAATGCACTGCAGGAACAGAAACGGTCAAAGAGAATCATTGTACTGAAAGCTCAAAAACATGCACAGATGTCTTGGGGGTTGTGAGATGCTGAGAAGAAAGGGGGAAGTAAAAGGAGAGAGACGGTGCTTTCTGGACTTCAGGCCACCCTGTTAAGTGGGGGCCTTTGTAGCATTTGTTGTGTCTAGGTGATACATTAACTGCTGGTCAGCCAAGGGGAAGGAATTCTTGTTAAAAAAAAAGAGCCATAAAGCAGACGGCTTGGTAGGAGTTGGAGGAGGGAGGAGACCGGAGGAATTCAAAAACAAGCTGAAGGGAAGTCTGACAACTGAAAAATATACTGAAGAGACTCACTTACATTTTGTTTGTGACAGAAGTTGACAGCTTGAAGTGTCTGCCAGGTTATACTTTTTACAAGGTGCTCTGGAACACTACAAGACAAGAAGGTCAAAATAAACAGATGCCAAGTAACAACTGAATGACAACTGAGCGAACTCCATCTGTTGGTAAAGGCCACAGAATTTGGCTGAAAGGTCCAGAAAATTTCCTTTTAGTGGAGTTTGTGCAAAGAATTTTCTTTTATCAAACTAAGAAATAAGTTTTGTTTAAGTGACTGTTTTAGTTGTTTAATAAAATGCCAAACATCTGTTGATTCAAAATGGTATTATTTGATTGCTTTCTTTTGTTTAATACAGATTTAATAATATCTTTCTTAATATCTAAGATGTGTTTGCACTTGTGGTCAGAATAGGTAGGCAATTTTGGGCTCTAGTTAGTTGTGATTGTCATTATTTTTGTTTATTTTGTTAGGTAAATTATGAATTCACTGGAAAATGTCATGCTTCTTCAATGAGATTAATCTTTTTAGTTTCCTTTATCCAAACCAGAGCTACAACCCAAACAAACCTAAGGCTAGAGCTAATCAGCATTTCAAGCAAACATTCGACAACTAAGATGATACAGCCATGCTAGCGGCTGTGTGAGAATGTCCACAGCAATGCTTTGAGCAAAATGCTAACATCAGTATGCTAACATACTCGCAATGCTAACATACTGATGTTTAGCAGGTATAATGTTTACCATTTTCATCTTAGTTTGGCGTGTTAGCATGCTAACAGTTGACATTTAGCACTAAAACAAAAATACAGCTTAGGCTGAAGTGAATTAAATTAACACTAGTTTTGCAGGCATTTTGACATTAACCAAGTCTTGGAAAAATTTAAATGTGAACCTGAGGATAGTGCAGGAGGAAAAGTCAGGGGATCACCAAAGTTAAAACAGTTCTTCCTGAGGGGGACATGAATGTCTGGACCACATAACATAGCAGTCTACCCAATAGTTGAGACATTTCACTAAAAGCCATAAATGTCAACCTCATGGGGTTGTGAGAAAAGTTATGGGATCAACAAAACCTGTAAAATTCATCCTCGGGGGACCATGAATGTCTGTACAAAAGTGAATGGCAGTACATCCAATACAGACCAACACTGCCATCCCTAGAGCTAAAGATTTAACAAATAGAGTTAATTTGTGTTTGAGGAATCTGGGACAAAATTGGATTAATCTAGCTGAAAAGATGAATCTAATAAAAGAAGCACGGAAGGATATATCTTAATCTTTTCTTTTATTGGTCCACTTTTGCTGTTTTCCTCTGTCCAGCCCTGTTTTTCAGGCGGCTGTGGAGCACACGGAGCAGCCTGGATGTTCAACACTGAGGCTTTGTTAGTTCAGGGACCATCATCTATCAGTGTTGCCGGGGAAATGGCTAAATCGAGCCTTGTGACTGGCAATTAATAGCAATCTCCGCCCCTTCTCCACACTTTGTTTCCCCGTGTTTTGAACCCTCTGTGTCCAAGAGGCTACAGGCCGGGACCAGACAGGGGAACCAGACAGCGAAAACACTCCGTATAAAATGTGGCCGAGCCTAAAGAACCCCCTCTGGCAAAGCATTCTGGGAGAGCATCACTGTAAACATTCCACAGTGAGCAGGTCAGCTTCCTGGGAGACAAGTGTTGTATCCATCAGAGCTGGACAAAGCGCAGAGTACGGTGTGGTATACATGTAATGTAGAGATAATAGAAAGTACACAGCACTTTGTTTAATGAAAAGCCACCGTACTCAGATTTATGCACTCGTTATCTCAGTGTGACAGAGTTTGTACAGTACAACGAGCTGTGTGTTCATTTCATATAATTCAGGAAAAAGTAAAGATGTATATGCTTTTTAATGCATTACTAATAAAAGTTTGTAAAGCGCTTACTGCTTGGAATGGACTTCATTATAATATCATTATTCTGATATTAGTGAGAATATTTTTCCAGTATTCAATAAAGTCATTTCAAATTTAAGATTTCTTTCCGGTTTCAAGCTTTCCTCATAAGCTGTTTATGGTTTATGTTGTTTCATTTTGTATTCTGTGTTTCTGCATATCCGTGTTTTACTTTGTGTCCTTGTTGTTTGGGAGAATATTTAGTGTGTTGTGTTATTTTATGACAGAATAAAACCAACATATTGTGAAAATATGTCAAATATGTGCATAGTCACATCAATTTTAAATTATTCAGATTGTTTAGAAAGTTTATTCTTGACCTTGGAAACTGCTGGAACAACAACACAAATCTCACCACCACCTCCACCCAGGTGTTCTGGAGCTTTCAACATGATCTTCAGCAGATGCATTTCCATGACAATCTGCTAATGATGATCATATGATAAAATCAAAAGGTTCCAAAGAGGAGCTACTAGATGGACCTTGTGGCTGAGACTGTTTTGTAAACTAGCATTCCCAAAAGTAAAACAAAAACTTAATTTAGTCACTTTTTAAATTACAAAATGTTTGGAATGTATGTTTATCTTTCTACTGAACGTCAGTCAACCATCTGGATTATTGCACTATTTAGCTTGATTCAGTATAAATTATCTGAATTGCTGAAACAAACTAAAGATGTAGGCAGCGAGAGTTTGGAAGACTCAGATTTATATTGTATGGAAAATAGTTTGGACCTAATGTTTATTCTTTGATCATTTCAAGTTGTGTTTTATGGGGCATCACTGTTGCCTAGTGGTTTAAGGCATGTACCATGTAATTGCGACAGGCCTGGTTTGATTCCCCCTGAGGAAATTTGTTGCATGCCATCCCCCTTCGCTTTCTCTCTCTCCTCATTTCTGTCTAATGAATGGATTTTAATTTTACTTTTTTGATATTGTTATATTGAAGCCACTAAACTACCAAACTAAGTGCACACATTCCTTAGTTTTCAGTGAACAGTCTAGAGACACACCCACCCTCCGGGATGGCGGTCCAGCTCGTTGAGGACTGTGTGGTCGCAGTACTCGAAAACGAGATGGAGCTTCCGCTTACGCCGAAACACCTCGATCAGATTCACCAGGTTGGCGTGTTTCAGTTGCTGCACAGATGCACAACACAGAAAAAGACATCTCAGAGAAATACAGCAACATCCACACAACAAATACAGTCTAATACAAGTGGTAAACCAGTAAAGCCTGCTGTTTAGAGAACTGTACCATATGTGGTTTGCTCTTATCAAACAGACTAAGCTGTTAACAGATGGTAATAAACATGCTGTTGCCCCTGACAACCTGTCCCCATCCTGTCCTATTTATGAGCTCCTGGGGTCCAGCAGGCCACTAACACTCCCACCCACTGCATGACTAATTAAACCACCAACTAATGTACCAGTACAGCTTTGATAATTATGATGCAACATAAAACAAACAGGTTTTAGCCTTGGGTTTAAACAAACATGGCAATAAAATGACAATATTACATATATATGTAGTCTCACGTCATGATTTAAGATGAATTAACTGACAAGAATATTTGTCTTGCATCCAGAGTCTAAACTGGCATTTTATAGTCAAACAGCTAAAAACAGTTTCTCATTTCCTGTTAAAATAAATAATAAAATAAATGTTAATAAATTAAGTTGTTCAGTCAGCCCTGATGCCGCAGGGTTTGTCCTTCATTTGATTACAACCTTCTAAACCTCTTTTGAACGCTGCCGCTTTGAATGAGTTTCTCTGTGCACCGGCCACAAAAATGCTTCCCCTCTGTCTGCAGAATGAATTGAACGGTGTCACTCCTGCTGGCTGCACAACAGAGAAGGAAGACTGTGTATTTCAGGGCACTAAACTAACAGGATTTGCATCTTCTGCATTACAGGATTTTGTTAGACTGTGCATTTCCAGAGTAGACTATAAAGAAACAGTGAATACAAATGAGAGCTCGAACTTTGATCACCACAAAGAAGCATTTTATTTTATAATTAAAAAGGTGTGGTTAAAGGTTAAAGGTTAGCTTCTTTAATTAATACAGACATAATGTGATCAGTATTATATCCAATATTTGTTATGGTTGATATGTGGACTAGTTGTTTGGGAACCAGGTAAAAAAAATAAAGAAAAAGCTATTCATGGTAAAAGTAAAAATGCCTTGATAAGTAAGATTTATGAGATAGAAAGCCAGACTTTTAAGTTTTAATGTCATAATTTTAATCTATGATTAAATTAAATTAAATATCATAATCTTGACTTGAAAATAAAAATTTTCTCTAATAATGTTTACATTATTAACTGTGACCAAACCCTATCTGGCAGAAATGGACTGCTACATCAGTTTAATGTTGTATTCATGTAAAAACATAGATGTGAAGGACTTTTGGGGAGAAGAAAAAGAAGATATTCTGTTACCTTGAGCATCCTGATCTCCCTCAGTGCAATCTTTTTGATGATGGGATCGTCCTCTGACTCCACAAACTTCTTGATGGCGACGATCTGCCCCGTGTCTTTGTTTCTGCACTTGAAGACAACGCCGTAGGAGCCCTCTCCGATCTTTCCTATCTTCTCGTACTTCTCCATCCTCAAGCTGGATCAGCAGTCATCCGAAGGTAAAAACACTTTTCCAGGAGGCCCCCAAGGAGGCAGGACTGTCTCAGCAGCCTGTAATGAGGCGAGAGGAAACACAGGAGGGGAAAAAGGGTGAGGGTAATTTCTGAATAGTTCCCTCAATAAAAACTGGAATAAATTCATACTAAGTATCCAAGCTAGGTCAAAACAGGCTGAATCTTTCTGGAAAAGAGACATTTAATGCTTTTATAAAACATTAAAAATATTTTGGTGGCTTTTCATGTTTCGATATCACAAATTTTGACTGACTCCTGCATCGCTGACTCAGAGTTATTATGAAAAACAAAAGGCACAGAAGTGTGCCATGTATAATTATCTGAATACACCGGTGGAATATAACTAAGTACATTTACTCAAGAACTGTACTTCAGTAGAATTTTGAGGTACTTGTTCTGGACCGTATTTCCATTTTATTCTACTTTATACTTCAGATAACAAGGCAAATATTGTCCTTTTTACTCCACTCAATTTATTTGAAAGCTTTAGTCACTAGTTACTTTGCAGATTCAGATTATTAATACAAAATATAAATCAGCCAATAGATTATGATATATTATTATGGATTAAGACACCCAGAAGTATATGAAGTGATTAAAGTTTGCTCCCCTTTACCAGCTGTAACATTACCTTGATGTACACATTAATACATCACTAATTATAACCCAGCAGGCTACATATTATGTATAAAAAAGGGCAACCCTGCATATTAAGTACTTTTATGTTTTCTACTTTAAGTATATTTTGATGCCAATACTTATGTACTTGTAACACATGCATTTTACTTGTAACAGAGTATTTTTACACTGCGGCATTGCTACTAGTACTACTTCTTCAACCACTGTCTGAATATCCTGAAAAGCACATTGAAGAATTTGTATGCAAATTTAAACAAAACTATAAAATAACCTATTGTATATGCGGATCAAAATGTTATATTACCTCTTTAACTGCTTCCAAAAGATAGATTTAACTGCTTAGAGGCAACATTACACCTGTCTCCTATCTAACACTTAGATTGCGTAACAAAAACATTTGCAATGCAAAGTATATTACCTCATTACGATGCGGAGATACAGAGCGAATACAAATAACTCTGAGAGAGTGAACAGCCAGGGGAATAAAATCAGAGTGCTGCACTTCTAAACAGGTGAACAAGGCAAACAGTAAATAACAGTAAAATAAATAAACACCTCAGGCTGCATGTTTATAACAGACGGTGCTTAATTTTATGTGATTAAAAATGATGACTGTAAGTCTGAGCAAAGTTTACTCATGGAACCAGCTGATAATGAAAGAAGCCACATTTAAATTTTTGAGACATTATGAGACATAATGAGACCTATTTCAGTGAAAACACATCCATGTTCGTTAGAAATCCAAATGTACAAACTTACTTTTCTGTGAAAATGTTCGCAGATGTTCGTCAGTCAGATATTCAGAGAGTCTGTGAGGAGCTGCACCTTCTTCCAAACACAACAAGCTGGACGAGCCCAGCTCTACTGTCCCTGCAGATTCAAGAAGCGTCAGTTTAAAGGCGTCAAGTCGGATAGAATAAAACATGACATCCGGCCGTGCCTTTCAAAATAAAACACAAAATGAGCACACTTCGCGTCTGTCAATAAAGCAAGATTTTAAGGAAACTTTTAGAAAATTTGAAATACATTCAAAATATGACTTAAGTATACCGTAAGTAACAAAAGTACTAGCATACATATATTATTGTTCCAAAAATAAGTACTCACCATGCAGAATGGTCCCTTTCAGAAAAATAGATATCTTATCATGTTGCAGTTGGTAAAGGTGGAACTAAAATTACTTCACATACTGCTGGGTAGTCTTATCTTAACATAATACATCATTGTTTATTTGTTAGCTGTATTTTTTATTATAAATCTGAATCTGTGTTATGAAATAAGTGTAGTGGAGTAAATAGTATAAAGAAAATACTCAAGTAAAGTGTAAGTACCTCTAAAATTGAAAAAAAAAATACAGTTAATGCAAATACACTAAATTTCCAGCACTGTTTAATTCAGAACAAAACACGGGGACTTCAACATTAGAGTTAAGGAGCCTTAAATTAACCATGTAGGTCATAATAATAACAATCTAATTTAGTGATTCTCCAAGAAAATAAGGCTTTTCAACATAGTAGTAATGATGATACATAAACCACAACTACCTAAAATACAACAGTATTATGTATTTACATAGGGCCTTTACAAGCAGCTGAAACCTAAACACAAATTAAATAGGTTCTGGTTTCATTTCTGATCCTGGTCTTTTCTGAAAGGAAACTCTTTGGAGTTAACTATCAAACATTGATACTGAACTTTACTTTACAGATGCACAAACATGGCAACATTTGTTTGATTTTTTTCTTACTATTTTTAACTTGTAAAGTTTAAATTGATATGTTTTTACTGTGTTTTGCTTGCACACCTGTGGCAGCTGTCACATTTTTACATCTTAAAATAGTTCATACTAATACAAGTCAGGGGGCTATGTGCTTTCAATGCTGCTCGTTAAGAAATTAATGTTATGTGCTTTATAGTTAAACAGCAATACAGACGCACAGAATAAAACAGAGGAAATTTGGCAATAAAAAGTATGTAAAATGTCATAAATATTATGACCTTTTGATCATCTATTTTTGAGAATCACCTGATGCCTCCACTAGAACAAAACTGGCAATCATTTTATTTTGAAGGTGAAATCATCTTACTTCCTGTACTATCCAGTCACTCACAGCAAAATTACACGTCTCTCGTTTTTCCACCCATGTTCCCTTAGGAACATCTGACTCCACTATCAGCTCCATAAAAAGAAAAAGAAAGAAAAACAGACCCATGTGGGTTTTTTGAAGATTTCCACACCTGACAGACTGAGTGTCAGATGTGTTAAAAATAAAGACACAGGTAAACTACAGCCTCCTCCAGTCAGTGACTATCAGGGGAAACACCCACACAGGTAAACAACTCTGTCTATTCTCAAAGGGGAGCTCACTGACAGTCTTGTCCGTAAAAGACCTGAATACTCACAGATCTGAAACCATTTTGTAAGTAGTAAATGAGTTTGTGCTTCACTAGGTTTTATCATACTAAGATTCTTTCTGTATCCTTTAGAGTCCATTTTATGTTTTTGGTGGCCATGAAAACAACAAAATCTACATCTGTCTTCACTCCACATGTGACAGCGAGCTGCAAACACAAACATTAAATCTGACATACTGTCCTGTCGCACTGAGACCAATTAGTGCAAGTTGGTGAAGTCAGAGGATCAGCAGACTAAAAAAGGAATTGATGGAAACGAATACTCACTCGTCTCCCCCAGTTCCTCCTATCAGTGAGGAGTAACTCGGTGCATCATCAGCTCTGTTACATCAATCTCGCAACAACACAAAATTAAACCAGTCCATTTATGTCATCTTGTTAACAAAAGCTTTTTTATTACAAAAACAGCATACATTAAACATTTTGCGAAGGGAATGCAAAGATGTTAACAAACCTAGCATTGTCCCTCATTTTGTCATTTTATTTTAAATTAAAAAAAAATGTACAAAAGTGCTTACATGGTGCAAATAATGAGGAGTAAAATGTCTATAAAAAGAGGAAGGTAAAGAAAAAAATGTACATTATATTCAACTTCTAAAAATGCAGCAGAGCAGGAGAGATGTGACTATATTACATAGCCGTAAAAAGAACCCAAAGCTACTCAGGAGCAGTTCACTAGGTAGGTAATCCTCCCACAGCAGGACTGCACTGTAACTGTTAACATGATCTGTAAATCAAACATACCTTATTACTTAACATGAAGTTAATAAATATTGCTTAAATAACCCACAAAGCTCGCAGGTTTCTGTTTAAACTGATCTATTAGTTTGACTACAGAGTAAAATCTCCTCTCAAGCCTGACATTTGCCACTGACAGTAATTATGAGTGATATGTTACTGACAACAACAATAAATCTCCCATTGTTTGCTAATACAATCACAAATTCTTGTGAATTTTAATGGCACTTTATGTCAATAATACCTCTAGATAACTCAGTCCACAATACAGAAAAGTGAGAAAATTCTAATTAACAATGTTCATTTTGGGCTTTTATTGTTTTTCTCTCATAACAGTTTCCTCGTCGTTTGTGATGAGTGGAGCTACAGTGAACATGTTGCTGGTGTAAGGCTAGTCATGAATCAAGACTGAAGAGGCTCCTCTCTTACTGACCTGTCAATCCCATGATCAGTAACAAAAATGTGTTGTAAAACAGACGTTTCCCTTCACACACAACCTTATGGTGGAGCTCTGGAGTTTTCTCCCAAAAGTGAGGCATCTTATCCACTTTTCTAAGATCCGTCAGATCTCCGGCAGCGGCTCAGTAACTGTTCTCATGACCTGCTAAAATGTAGAGGTTGCTGAGGGCCGTGGGGTTGTCTGTGGGTCGGCTCTCCAAAACCACCACCCTGCAGGTGAAACACAGACACGGCAGTTAGAAGATTACACAGAGATGCTAAAGATCCAGCCTGCAGCCCGTTAGCTTAGCTTAGAATAAAGACTGGATATGGAGAAACGGCTAGCCTTGTTCAGTCCAAAATCCGTTCTACTAGCAGCTGTAAAGCTCTAATTAACATGTATCTGGCTTTTTGATCCGTACACAACCACAACTTCTTAACACTTTAAACAGACATAAAATAAGATATAACATAGTTTCATAGGCATTCAGCTTTTCATCTAACTATCGGCAAGATAGAGAATTACAGTATTTCCCAAAATGTCTATTCTTTTAATACTAATTATTTTCAAACCAAACATCAGCCATTGGTTTCAGTTCATGGTGCTGTGGAAACTTCAGTCAGTGCATGTTCAGTCAGTTATGTCATCCTAACTTTGCGTGTAAATCAATGGAAAACAACAGTTGCCTGGAAAGTAAAAAACAGTGGAATAATGTGAATTGTATATGTTTCTAGTTTTGACCGACTGCCAAATAAAACTACAAATCTCTCTCTTATAAAATACTGACTTCAGGGTACTGACTTCTGTCACCAACATAACTTGAAACTTATTTATAGTGAGTGAGAAATGCTGGTAATCACAAAGCATCATGTTAATGGTATGGATCTACTCGGAGGCCAGCGTACTGGCAGTTCATGTTGGATTGCACGTTAAGCGTCCATGTTAATCGCTGTGATCCAGCTGTCAGTCAGATCAGGACGGCAGTGCGTGCATCTTCAGATGGCACGCATCTCGTGGTGGTGACAGGTGAGCAGGAAAGCTACAGTCCATACTGTCCGTTCCATCAGATGAAATTACAGAGGCATGGAGAGACACTCAAACCAGGCTGGTAGTGCCCGGGCGGCAGTGAATAAAACATGGGGGGCTGGGCAGAGAGGCCTCACTCCGGTGCCACAGGCATGGAGACTCCATCGGGAGTCTTCACTGACTGAACTGCACTGCTGGGAGAGCCTCCTGCACTAAGAGAGAGGGGTGCTGATCTAAATCACATCCTGCTGTGTCTGCAGCTGAATCCAACGATCATCAGTCCATTAGTCACTCACACAAATGAATCGTCAACTATTTTGATTTTTTAAAGCAAACATGCCAAAAATGATTTGGTTTCAGTTTCTCAAATGTGTGGATTTACTGTTTTCCTCAGTTTTTCTCATTGTAAATTTAATCTCTTTGGGTTTTAGACTGTTGGTCAGACCGGTAGGTTCTGGGAAATCAGGATGAGCAGTAGTTTCACTACTTTTTGACATTTTTTTCAGACTAAAAGATTAATCAAGAGACAAACCTGCAGCTTAATCAATAATGAAAATAATCATTATTTTATCACTCCATTAACTGCAAATATGTACTCACAATTTGTAAACAACTGTGCCATGCCTTAATGTTTGGCAGAAAATTGACCAGCAACTATTTTTATAAGCGACTCATCATTAAAAGTCATGTTTCAAGATTTGTTGCTTTTCTCTCTTCTCATGTAATGGTAAACTGATTAACTGTTGGTCAGACAAAACAAGAAAACTGATGACATTTCCTTGGGAAATCATATTTTTTCTGAGAATTCATAGACAAAATGATTATTTTGTTAATCTAAAGCATAAATGGCAGAATAATCAATAATGAAAATAATTTAGTTTAGTCACTGCTCAAGTTATTTAACATGCAAAAATTCCACTGGCTTATTTGCAATTCCTTTGGGTTCTAGTTTACTGGCCTGACAATATAATGCCATTTCACGAGCTTACGACTACTTACTTTACATTACACAGAGAAAATGTATTAATGTATCAAAAAAAACAACAACTGACTTATCCATAATGAAAATGATGATCTTTTAAAGCCCTGCTTTGTCATATTGCAAGGAAGCTAACATGTTACAGCTCTGTTTTTAAATCAAATGGGTTTGTGACTGTTAGTGAGGCGTCTAACATTTGGCTCAGCCTTCATGTCTCAGAGCTAATGAAGCAACAAGCAGGAAACAGAGAGAGTGAGGTCATTCAAGGATAATGGCAGGAGTACATTTAGGGTCAGCAGAGTAATCAGAGAGTGAAATCTTAAAAACAGAAAGAGATGAAGAGAATAAGCTTTGAGTTAAGATGAAAGCAGAGTCAGGAGAGGGAGGCATGGCCTGCAGCAGGTCAGGTAGGGACAGAGAGACAAGAGGCAGCAGCAGATGAGCGCCGTGGGCTCACAACACAGCAGGTGAGCAGGTTGTTTGGTGGTTTCCAGGTAACAAGACCTGAGGGACGACGGCCATAATCTCGAGTGCCTGGTATTATGTAGGTCATGGGGCTTATAAATTATAGCAGTATTGGTGAAAAGACAGACAAACAGTATAAGTGAGGAGGTAGAGTGCGACCCTATCTCTAATCCTGTATGTTTCATAAAAGAAACAAGATTTTTGTGGTGCGTGCTCCTCCACTGGGTGCGCTTGCTCACTCATCTGCACTGATGGAGCTAAAGATGGAAATATCTCTGTACCAACCTGTCAGATCCAAGGAGGCGGAAAACTCTGCTTGGATCACAAATCTCCTGGGTCACCTGCGAATGAAAAACACAAGTGACTTAAACTGACAAATGTTTTTCTGTGCATCTGAAGTACTGGTGTTGCAGAGGGGGGCTTTGAAGCGCATGAATAATGACACACTGTTATACGAGTGCTCCAGCTTCCTCACACTGTCCATGCAACATGCAAGTAGGTTAAATGGTGACTCTAAATTGCCCTTAGGTGTGAATGTGAGTGTGTGTTGTTGTTTGTCTCTGTGTGTCAGCTCTGTGATGAACTGGCGACTTGTCCAGGGTGTACCCTCTTGCCCAATATCAGCTGGGATTGGCTCCAGCTCCCCGTGACCCTGGATGGATGGATGGAGTGTCACCAGAGAATCTTACACTCCACAAGGGCATACAAAAATCTTCTGTATGTCTTAAGCTGGGCAAACTCTGGACAATTGTATTAATCTTATATGTTGTGTTAACTCACAGTGCACTTTTTAATTGGCCTATCTGCACGGCCAAAACATATGACTTCTACTATATGGCCAAACCATATGTATCAAAAGATGAGTGCTCACACAACAGTGCTCACAAAATGACAAACAACTGAATATGGAACTGAAGAAAGCTGGATAAGATGCAGACTGGTCTGTTTTCTTTTTATCCCAGCACACTCTTAATGATTTTAACTTTTAATAAAGCTTGTTGCCATTATTTAGCTGTTGTTTAGCATCTGTTTATTGGACAATCTCTCAATCAATTTCAGTCAGAAAGTTCCCATCCTGTATTTTTTAACTTTGGTGGTAGGGCCACAGTTTACATTTTCATCACGTATTGTGCCGTTAGCAATAAGATGTCTGTATGTGTGTGTTTTTTGAGACTGTAGGTAACTGAGGGCTGTATCTAGGGTGTTACTATGTACAATCCTGGAGCATACCTGTTCTAGTCACAAGACATAGCCCGACAATTTGCAGTCTAAAATACAAGGGCCCCTTTAAAACACACTCTCACGTGTTGACATGTCATAAGAACATGTTGACAGATGCGAGATAGTCGCCGTGTGACACCTGCTAGGTGCAAGTTCTTGGCCTTGGGAGAGATCTGATCTGTTTAAGTCTAAATGAAAACAAGGTCTCGGGTGTTTCGGAGAAGCACCCACCAAAGCAAGCACGGATCAACAGGCCTGCCCCCCTTGAATGCCTTCGCTTTTGAAAGGAATCATAACAAGACAAAGGCTGAATTATTTAGTGCTGTTCCCTGTTGTGTGACGGGTTTCGTTTATGATTGAGCATGAATTTTGCATGGCCGCTGACATTTCAAAAATCCTTGCTATGGGAGAGCTGTCAAGCCGGGCTAGGCACAGACTGGGCAAGCAGACCTTCTGTTTCATCCGAGTGCTGCAAGACCACGTCTGACACGGTGAGCTTTTAAAAGCGTGGACCCTATCACTTTTCATAAAACAGAATGCTTCACCTCCCTGCGATCTCTTGAACTTTTATTCTGCTTCTGAGCGAGACTCGTGATCAGGTTAACATGGAATCCCTCTGTGAAAGGGGTACAAATTCATTAACTCGGCCTGACACAAAGACACTTTGTCTGGCTCCACCTGAGGTCTAATTCTCCTGGGATCAGCTACAGCATGTAGCCATGCATATAGGGTCTTTGTTGACATGAGCCAGAGGTGTTTGTTCATGTGTAGAACAAACAAGCCTGTATTCAGGGACGTGACAAAAACTGCATTCAGAGTTTCACTGGGAACACATGAAAATTGATACCGATATTTTGGTATCAATATTGATTCTAAAGTAGCTAACAGCTTTAAAATGTTGAATTAGTTTAATGTTAAGTTTTCTGAGTCGACTGGCATCTTTACTTCCAGGATGCCATTTCTTTGTAAAGACTGAAAACTGTAGAAACTTTGATGTGAAGACAATATCCTTGACTACAGAGTAGACAGTGTTTTCAACAATGAACTGGTGTAGTATCAAAGTGAAAATGTGTGTTTGTGTTTTAATCTAACTACTGGAATAAGTTTTGCTATTCTAAGGTTCCACCCGGCTGTCGTGGTCATGGGATATTTTACCTCATTAGACTTGAAACTCTTTCCCTGCATGCCATGTTTCCAGAAGGCCAGGACGCTGTCCTGAAGGCACACTGTCAAAAGAGAAAGGCCATGTGTATCAGTGCTCAACGGTCTGTATACCTGTCAGCTTGCGTCATGTTGGGATTTTTTCCCTTTAAAGGTAAGGAATTTTCAATGAAATGTTAAAAAGGTCTCACTCAGAATCACTTCTATTTCTTTACACAGACAGTACAAGACCAGTCTAAAAACTTACCAACAGTTCCGATGCAGAAGTCAAAGCTGAGCTCAGATGCTAGCTTCTTGTTGGACTTCAGTCTGCCCTGAAGATTAACAATCTTCAAATTTTCTGTTGAGAAAAATAGTAAAAGGCTGTAAGAATGATAGAACACAGCTACTTACATCTGGATTGTACAAAAGCTGAAGGCACAGATTGTGGTCAAAGCTGAAGAAAAGAAATTGTACTTACGGTCCAAACACACCAACACTGTGTCTCTCTCCAGCTGGGTGACATGGATTGCATCCACCTGTTGATTAGCTGTGAGAAGAAAAGGTACAACAGTAACAATACTGTTCTTTAACATCCCCAGCAACGTACAATGTACAACGTGAGGCTGCACTGCATTCTGTGGAGGCTCCAGTGAATAGACAAATTGCAGACAAAGTAGTTTCTGGAGAAGTCATTCGTTTCACCACAAAACACACTACATCCGAGTACATGTCTGACTTACTTGTTCCCATCTCTGTGAACCAGGAGGAGCAGGAGTTGAGGTTGATGGTCTCAAAGCGGACCACCTGGCCCGGCTCTGTGCCCTGGCTGATGGCCACACACACCAAGGGATACTCCTGCTCTGGGACCACCAGCATCTCAAACACCTTCAATGGGCTGGGAAGAGGGAAGTCAAAGTGCTGCCGCAGGAAGAGAGAGCCAACAAGAGAGCCAAGGGTTAGTGTCAGTGGTGTTCTGATATTTAAAGACGCTTTATTTTGTAGTATAGAACTAGAGACACTTTGCTACAGGTGCAAAGAGCTACACCTGTTTAGAAGTGTTACACTTATAAAAAAACTACAAAATGAACAACTTGGGTTTCAGAGCTCAGAAGCAATGGACAATTCTAGTTAATTTAAGTTATCCTAATCCTTCTTTCCTTGCACAGCTACATTTTTAATTCTAACAGGTGGGCTACTTTAAGGGGTGCGGTTTAAAAATTGCAACCAGGTGTGTGCAGCACCAGCATATTGGCACAATTCGCCCGAGACAGCTTCACACAACATGCTGGAAACTCGGGTAAACTCCCTCTGCAACATTACAGCAATATTGTTATCAGCTCGAGGTAGAACTAATCCATGCTGGTTACATAATAATAATAACATAATTTACTGCATTTAGCCGACGTGATAAAGCAGCGTTGGCTCGCCTGCCTACTTTTCAGTAACAACATAATTTGTGTATCTTTCGCTGGAGGCTCAGCACTGTGAGCACAGCTACATGTATTGGATGATAAACATCCATAAAACAGTGAATATCATAAATGTGATTGTTGCCACACTTTATAACAGTTTTACTGCAGTAAGTAATATTACTGTATGGATGGGTCTTCTACTGTGTTTTCCTGCGGCGTTATGTTGCATTATTGTATATTATGTGGTTCACGTATGTTACAGCGACTGAGACGTTGGAGAAGCTCTGTACATGAGAATCTGTAAAACCACAATAAATTTAAATTGAACGTTCTAAGCAAACAGCGGTAGATCTGTGCTAATGTTAACTGACTGCTTCTGCCATGCATCAAGGCTAGTATAAACAAATCGCTCCACATTTGATTTGTACCGTTACATAATTTCTTGCAGGCTAAGTCAACACTTTGACATAATACTGGTAGCACACAGGATAGTAATATGGGTTGAGTTAGCCGATGAAGTCATGTAGAAAGCCATAATTTTAAAACTATAGTGTATTCCACCAGATAACGTTAGCAACTAGTCGGTGTTAGCCGACAAGGTAACAATAAGCCTTTCCGATGTTGACTATTTTAAACAGACATTACCTGATTCTCGTTTGGCCTGACAGGCTTCAGCACATAAACCTTAATTGTTTTTTTGTATTATTTCGATGACTTTACGTTGGAGTCTGTGTTGTGCTGGGTGCCAGTTGTTTTATGGTGTTAGTGGACTGCATTTCATTAGCTGTGTTGTTTCTGAGTAGCAGAGTAGTGGGCTGTTCCAAGCAACAGAGAAAACAGGTATCTAAGTGAGGCTAAAGCCCATTGACAATATAATGCAGTAAAATTTTGATTTATTAAGACGTGATTTCATTCAAATAGCCCCTTTAAAGAAAAATATATGGTACAACCCTACAGCAAAAACATGTATTCTTACTTAGGACATTTGTGGAGGAACAGTGAATGTTGATGAGATAAGTATATAGCCAACTGACCTTGATGAGCATAAACCTCTGCATGGGCTCATACCACTGCAACAGGACAATCCCAGACTGAAGCGCTCCACACAAGTACTTGTGGCCTGTATAAGGATTTCTCACTGTAAAGTACAAAACACTGTCAAAAAGTGAAGTACGACTGAACTATCGAGGTCCTTTATAATTTACACAAATTTAAAACCCCACTCACATTAGTGCATGATAAGAAAAGTCATAGGGGCTTACAGAACAAAAACATTGCAGTAAAGTAAAGGGGAACACAACTGGTACAGAGATGTTCTTCAGTTTAATATGATAGAAGGATGAGTAAATAAAAAAAAAAGTGTTTGGGAGGGAAAGGCCACTCACCAATGCAGCACTTGTGACAGCCCTTTGTGTCGGGGATCTTAGTTGTCAAGGCAAACCTCCTGAGGAGAGAAAACAGTCAATCTGTTGTGACCACAGTCTTAAAAGAGCTGATGACGTCTAGAAACAGGGAAGTCGGCCAGTTATTCTCCTTTTTTCGACCACCGTTTTCATGGTGGTAGACAGTGAAGAGCACAAAAAGACTGCACAGCATGAGTGCAGAAAAGCAATTATGACCTTTTCACTGAAATGACACGAGCTGAAAGAAGAGACTAAGATTCAAACCAATAACTCCAGGCACGTTGGTCTCACCTAGGTAAGATTTTGTCTGGGAAGCGGTGAGTTGTGAACTGAGCAGCCAGGCCGGGCTTCTTCAGCTGCTCAAACAGCCCAATGAGATTGTGGGAGTACAGCTGGAAGGTTTTCCCTACAGCAGAAAACAGTATATTTAATCATCAGATTTCCAACTAAAAACAATAAGTAGTGTAGTAGTAATCGATGCGAGGAGTTAAAATATGTCATTTTAAATGTGACAGACAAGATTTGGAGAAATTTTTTTTAAATTAATATTTTAAACATAATTTCCCTTAACAGATGTCAGATCCCATAAAGAAGCTTTCACATGTAGAAAGGTTAGATGTGAACAGGGGTAAAAACAGAAGTGTGAAGATGATGTGAAGCATGATTACCTTCTGATGAAGTCAGTTAGTAGAATATCAAATCAAGCCAGGTGAGAGGAGGATGGACAGTGTCCAAGGGAAGAGGAGAAGAAAAAAGAGGTTAAGTATACAAAGGGGCAAACTGCTGAAGGTAAGACCGAATGCAGACCTCCTTGCTCAACTGTTAAACCAAGAAAAGGCTTTGGCGACCATGACAGCCAAACAAAGACAGTTTCATTTCAAATGATGATTTGAGTATTCTGACAACATCTAGCTAGTCTGTTATAATATATAAGAGAAACTACACATGCTTTTGCAGATAGTATAGATCATAACCTACAAAGTAAATATATCTGATTCAAAAGGACAAGCTGAAAGCCAGATATGTCACTCATGAATCACTGTGTTACAAGGACACCACTCATACAGAGGCTCTCTGATAGCAAACAAAAGCAACAGTTATTGTTGGGCTGCAGATATGGAGTGCCTGTCTTGCCCTCAGGGGCGGCCAGATAACACAGAACAAAGCAGCAGCGGGTTATGACAGTAGACAGTGAAGCAGGAGGACGTTATAAGTTCATCACTTACCAGATAAAGACATCAGGTTGTTGTTGATAACGTACAGCCATGTACATTTCCTCGGGAACAGCTAAATAGGGAATTAAACAAAGATGGCACAATGACCATATAGTCAGACATTAGTTTTCAAAAGATCATCAATTGACTGTTCACTCCCCTCCCCTGAACAGCAACTGTTCAGTCATAGCAACTGTATGTAGTTACAGTCAAGGCACTTTGCATGAAGCTTTAGTAAGAGCAGTACTCTGTAACCAAAGGGTTGGGGGTTAGTGTATTTTCCCCATTGCCTTTTCAAAACCAAAAGCACAACTTTTAATGCGTAAAGAATAAATTAAACAGTGAGTGTGTCTGCTCTGACATAAACTGCAATCATAAGCAAGTCCAGCTAACTAGCCTACTACCTACAGTAATAACCAGGCATTACTTCAATGGCCAAGGAGCACATCATAAACTAAGAGAGTTGCGTTTTCTAAAGACACTGGTTAGTCCTCATCCTAAAAACCCTCTTTCTTGTTTAAGTAAAAATTGAAATATCAGGCATGTGATTGGCAAAGGGCAAAAAAAAAAAAAGCAGGAAAATATACTGAGACCACCCGACACCACGATTAAACTGGCGAGCGGCTCTAACATGGAGGTAAAGCAGGACCCATGAAAATAAGTTATTTAATGGATGTGTTGCAGTGGGAATCAAAGACAAGGGTCTAATCCGCAACCGCTCTATAATAATTATTATTTTGTATTCATTTTTACCAAACTTCAACAGCTAAATGTGCAACATGAAACATGAAATAATTGAGTCTATAACTAAATAATGTAACTACTAACTTTCAAATTAGTTCAGTTGAAGTTAATAGATGATTTTTAATGAATAACAGACAGCAGCAAAGGTTGTTGCCTGTTTAAGACCTGGTGGCCTGACTGTTAAAGAAACACTTATATTCTTCAGGAAACTCAAACAGCTGATCAGTCTCTATCTGTTGGAAACTGTAGGAAAAGCGTGTGCGTGAGACGAGAACGACTGCGACAGTTTAACGGGATCACGCCAGTCACACAGAAGCCGTTACCATGGTTACCTCGCGGAACGCTTGTTTACCTGTCTGTTGATGAGGAGCGCAGAGCGACCCGTGTGAAAAGGCCTTATATAACCTAAACCTTGTCACAACCATTCACAAGAAATTAATTAAATACGTGCAAAACCTTTAACATAAGGACGACTTAAAAAGCAACCATTCACACAGCAAAGTGTATAGGCTACATGAGTGATCAATAGACAACAAAGTCAAAGTAAACATTAGACATAGCCTCTAACAAGCAATAATCAAAACATTCCCAATTAATCTGATCCTTATTGTCAACTCAGTGTTGGGCAAGTTACTCAGAAATAATATTACCTACTAGTTACTTAGCATAGGCTATAGACCAACTCCTTAAAAAAGTAATATTAGCTTCTCTACTTAAGCCCACTACTGGGTGATAGCCTATTATAACGCCACTCTCTCCCGATGAGTCCAAGCATCACTGGCAGCAGCGGCCGGAGTTTCTCTCTGAGTTTCACGTTGCTGTGTTGCTTTAGCTGATGCTTCAATTAGCCTAAGTATAAATGTAGAACTGTTCGCGGTTGAAAACTTTTTGCTCGTCGCACAAAGTTTACAACGGACGACAATGTTCTTTGCATCTTAGACTGTGACACAGTAATGGCAAATAACGTTACTTACAGCTGTCGAAAATAACTCTCTCTGTTAGGAATGTGGTTTTTGTGTTCATGTTTCCTGTTTAAGTCCGTTTTTGGTTCTGTCTTTCTCTGCGTAGTCTTTAGTTAGTTCTTAGCCCTGTGATTATAAGTTACTTAGTATCTGTCTTGTCTCGTATCTTAGTTCCTAGTTCGGTGTCTTAGTTCTTAGTCCTGTACATTAGTTCATGTCTTTAGTATTTACTCCTGGTCTGTGTTCTTCTGTTGGTTGTTATTTTGCCCCATGTCTGCCTGTCAAGTGTTCCGTCTGTTCCCCCAGTTATCTCTCTGCCTGCCTGTGTCTCGTCAGTTTCATGTCCCTCACCTGTGTTGCTCTCGCCCTGCTCGTTAGTCTTTGGTGTGTATATATGTTTGGTGTTCTCTTCAGTCTTCGTCCGGTCATTGTAGCGTTTAGACGCTCTGCCTTATGTTGTGGTTTTTCCTCGTCTTGCCCTGCCTGTACCCTGTTGTTCCTGCAGTTTTTGGATTACTTGTGTCACTGGATTTTCTGTTGGATTACCTTTTGTTTGGACTGTTTGTTTTGGATTCCCTGGACTCAGCCACTACATTTGTAAGTGAGCTCGCCTTTTATTGGTATTAAAACCCTTTGAACTGTACCTGCCTGTTCCCGTGTCTGCATTTGGGTCCACCAACCTTCTCCACACCACCCACACATAACACTCTCTCCCTGTTCTCCAGTTGTCCTTTAGCTTCTTGGCTAACAGCTGACTTTAATAACAAAGTCCAGTGCCGCTGAGCTGCAGCACGGTCGTGCATTCACGTCAGGGATGGTGCGTTCAGTAGCGGTCCGTTACTTGGATTAGTAACTGTAATAATACAGCTGTTTTGGAAATAGTAATCCGTAAAATTACTCTTTACTGGGAAAAGTAATTTTGCAGTAGGCCTATTACTGTCCAACACGTTACGTACCACTGATGCGCGAGAGCGACTGTGTAATCACTGCACGTGTGGAATTGGCAGCTGAGTGTAAACAAACATCCTTGATACTTAGAAAGCAAGAACTTTACACACGTGAACCTAGATCCTTTCCATTTCACTAGGCCAGGTCCTGTACCCCCCCCTTTTTATTTATTTTTGATACTCTAGTCCTCATCAATCCATATCAAGCTTATAATACTAGAACTGATAAGTTCAACAATACAATAGTGCAATAAAAGAACAATTCTATTTCTTTAATAAGTCATGTCTTCTACATGGATCATCAACTAGTGATCCTGCTGACTTTGAGCTAATGTTAACTTAAAAAGCTAGTTAGCTAATAAGTAATTATTTTAACAAAGACTGGTTATAATAATAATTATATATATAGTTATAATAATTTAGCTGCTGTTTACCTGCTCCATTGTGGCTTCATGCAGCTCATTAAGATTCAGCGTATAGATGCCATCCTCCGTCCCAAAGATTAGGTACTGATCTAGAAGGAAAAAAATATATATAAAATGAAGCATTGGCTTTAATAAAACATGTCAATTCTGCATGCTTGTGGGTGGACCACTCTTGTTGTATGAAGCTGTACCTTTGGTGTCTGGATGAATCCATGATGTGGCACAGTTGATCTTCAGTGGACAGCCATCAAATACTTTAGAGAAACAGGCTCCCATCTGAAATGAAAAGCAGCATGGCTCAGTTCAGGCAGCCTCTGGCACGGTGAAGCGCTAAAATGTCAGCCAGGGTTTAATGAGTTGGAGCTAGAGCTGTGCCGAGCAGGAAACCACAAAGCAGAAATCTCTGGTGGACCCCAAACATCTACAGAATGTATAGCAGCAGTGTAGATATGGGTTTAATAACAGTGTCCATGAAACCAGGCCAGCAGGGAAGACGAGTCTGAAGGACAATGTAGAGGATTCACTCACCAGTACTTTTGGAGTGGGTGGCAGACCATTGATAGCGGGTTTCTAAGTAGGAGTGGAGGACAGAAACAAAATGATGTAGATGCAAAACACAGACAAAGCAACAATAATTAGTTTCAATTTAGCTGCTTACTTTAGCTCCAGGCTCAACAATGAGCTGAACAAAAAAACAACAACAATATGAACTGTTGTCTATTGTGTGCTGTCAAAGTTAATTAAATGTTCAACATAAGTGGATTCCAAATTTCCATCTTTAACTGTTAGTGTTTGGATCTGACAAGGGGAATAACATATTTGAGGTTTCAGTGCAAAGCCAGCCAGCTAGTTGGAGACACTCCACATATAAAATATAGGCTCTTAGACCACAGATGACATTTTCATCATAAAACCCACTGAAACTAAAGATGAGAAGTGTGGCTGTCATGATTGAAATACATATTGTAAATGTAATATGTTGCTGGAATATCTTTAGACTCACAGGGAATTCCTTTTTCTCCTTCCGTTGCTGTTGGTTTGGCGGTGGCTTGGAACTGTCTCCATTCACACCGTCATCCGAATCATTATCTGTCATGAGAGAGCAGGCAGATGAAAATTACATTAATCACACTGTCAAACATGCAGAATCTAAATCCAAACATTAGACACATTTACATCAGGCTGCCTTACCTTTACATTTAGATTTACTGAGAGCTTGTAAAATTAAAAACAAGTGGTCATTTAGAGAAAACTATGAAAGGGATGTGGACAGGTTATTGTACATAACTCAGACACTACAAGTTAGGGAAGAAATGCTGAGGCTCACCAGGATCAGAGGCGTGAGACAAAAGGCCGGGGCTGCTGACGCTGGCAGAGAGGAAATCTGAAGACGAGTGCTCGACCTTGGTGCCCTGCTCAGGTGTGCTCTGTCTGCGAACAACCTGGCTTGCTCCGTTCTCGGAGTTAGGGAACCTCCGAACTGTCACAGACCTCTCATCATTAAGGCCAAGCTCCTCTGATGAGCTGTTTAATCGTGGCTGAGAGGGCATGGGGATAGACAGTTTGGTGTTAATTCAAAACATGCTTCAGTACATACACTTCTAACCTGGATTCTAATTGTAAGATCTATACAGTGGAAAATATTTTATAAGTTGGGCTCTCACCTTTGGGGGCAGAGGAGGAGGAAACCCTGGCTTGAGGGTTGACCTGAAATCAAGTTGTTTTTTTATTTTATATTTTAAACTAGTAAACTAGAACAATGAATGTTTTGCCCTGATACTGATATCACTCACAGCTCTACTTCTTCAAAGGCATCTTCAAGATGGGCGATGTGTCCCCTGCAGGAAACAAGCAGTAATCAGTGCGGATAATAAGACTCAGAGAGTCTTAATGGTGCAAATGTTAATGTAAAATCCTTCTTCAGAGATAAAAAACTCTAAGGAGAAGAATGGGGGGTGTATATGTTCTATGACTGAACCCTAGTGAGCATCATGGGATGGAAACAGGAAAATACATTTCTAGAGCTGTATAAAAGTATTTTTTGTCTTGCTAGACAAGACTTTATACTTCAGACATCTCTTGAGGTCTGTCATGACTTACTCTGATTTTAGTTTGAAAAGGACTAAATCAAGGTCTGCAGTGAGTGTTTCAGAATTTTATATGCCATCTCTTTATTCATCCATCCATAAAACTAGAATCAACCCAAGTAATGCAACTTTTACTAAGTTCTTTGGATAGTGCCCAAGGTATTTAAAGATTGTTTTTTAAAAAGCAATGGACATTATAGTACCGCCTTGACCGTGCAGAGTTAAGTCTGAGCAAACAATAAAAATAGGTTGCTGTTTATTTATTTTCCTGTCTCTTTCTACATCAAACTGTTTTACCTGCCTGCATATCTCAGACTCATGTATGCAGTTGTATGCACAGTTTGGATCTACAGCTATTATCACACCACACATGGTGAATGGAGGGGTGTCACAGAGGGTGATTTGTGGACATGGCGGGCACTAAACTGCACTGCAAAAAAGGGTGGGGATATAGTGAGGAGGGGAGTGGAGTGGAGTGGATGGCATAGGGTGCTACAGTACACACTGTGTTAGTGTTACCGTTGGAACAATTCGTCCTCAACGCTTTTGAGAAGGCTCCTTCAAGGGACAAGGAGAGAGAGAGAGACCGACAGCAAAGAGAGGACAGAGAGAAGTGGAAGGAAAACAGTCAAAAGACACACGGACAAGTGAGAAGGAGCACGCCAAAGCAACATTTCATACTGCAGATGGGGAGAGTGAGTTCATGCACAGACAAAGGTTAGCTCTAGTGAGTAACAGGTTAATGTGAGAGACAGTGAGGAGCATCCATAAGTGTAAACAATGGACAACAGATTACAGAACTCACTGACTGTTGTTAAGACAGACATGCTTTAGACATGTCTTTTTATCGTTGTTTATCTGCATTGTGTGCTTTTAATATTAACAGAATCTACAGAAGTAGAACACATAATAAAATAAATTTTAAATACTGTTTGTTTCTTTTCTCTCAATGAATCTTAAGTGATGCGTCCATCTAATAAATTAGCCAGAGAGAGAGAGAGAGAGAGAGAAGCACTTCCTGTGACAACAGTTTCCATGGATTACCTGGTTGTTATTCCTCCCTCTGCAAAGGGACTCCAGGGGGAAGGGAAGTCATTATCTTTATTCACATCCTGTGGAAAGCCACACATGCACAAGAATAGAATTTCTAAAAACCGGCATTTAAATAAAAAAATTGTGGATATACTTTTACTTTTTCTACACGCACTTAAAATGACTTGATTACAAACAGAAAGTTGTACTTGAATAGTTGTACTGATTAAACTGAATATGATCATCACCATTTCAGAATGAGCCTCCGTTTCCTTCCGTAGTGGTGGTTCAAACTGGACTTTGTCAACTGTGAATTAAAAAAAACTCAAGTCAGTTTTTTAAATGTTTAATCTTGCACACACCTTTGGCACTAGAGGGCATCAGTGCCCAACACTTTAAGACACACAAAGCCCTGGGAGAACCACCCATTAGTTGCAGGAGCCTTCGAAATCCCTCTTTTGGGTCCATTCTTAACACAAACACATGTAAGAACGAACCAAAATCAGATCAGCTGCTTCCACTACAATGTACCTGCCAAAATACCTTTACTGATTTATTATGCTACTATGTGAACTTTTGGTCTGGAGTATAAAGACTAGTCGGTCACCAAAGACAAACACAGATTACACTTGACACTAACCAGATCTGTTCACTTTAGGGAAATATTGGTAAGAGAGCAAGAATTACACACAAATCATGGAAAAGATTCTTCTTAGTTTATGTTTGAGGTTACATTCTTTCAAACAGTTGATGCCATAGAGGAGAATGATTTGGTATCCAGTATAAACATGGTGTGATCCTGCTGTAATTATAAAGGCGAAAGAAATCAACCAACCTGCCAATAAATACTTCCACATAATCAGCTCCTCATTAACAAAGAAACCTTTTATTCAAGAATTCAGACCACAGCTTTTTTTGGTGCTTAAGTTAAGCTGATAACATGGAGGTGCTGCAGCATTTAAAGGTACAGTGTGTAAGAACTCAAACTACTTTCCACCTGTGGAACTTATACGCCAACAAATTAGGGTGCAGCGTATCACATATCGGGTCATAACTGCTGTTAATTGCCTTTAGCTAGTTAGCTCAGTTAGCCATGCAGACATCTTAGCGGTCCTATTAGCTAACTGAGTCCGAGCGGGCAACAGAACCAGCAGCCTCTCAGTGATCACAGCCGGAGCTGGACCAAACACAGCCTCCAAGAGTGACAGAAGTCAGTCTGACAACAGGGAATGCAATACCGAAGTGATTTACAGGGTTTCTAAACAGACTCTGACTCTGGGAACAACAAAGGCACAGAGGGTTCAGGGGGGACAGGAGAAGCTTCAAGTGGGAGAGGAGGCTGGGCATCACAGAGGCAGTGATAATGTGTAGGACCAGAATATTTTCACAACTAACTCGTTAAATAATGGTTTAATTTCAACCAAACCAGAGCTGGTGATTGTTGAAAGAGTGGAAAGACTAACCATAGTGGCTTGGGTGAGTTTAAATTTTTCTGTTTCTGTTGAGTTTGAATGAAGTGTGTTTCAAGATGAGTTAACAAGGCTATTCAGTCGGTGAAAGTGAGAAACTTTAATTCAGAAGGTGTACAGTTGTATTTTTTTATAAGGAAAATAGGTGTAAGAATATTTCCTTTCTTGGCATTTTGTGAGTTGATTTTGTTTATTTATTATAAGCTAAGACAGCTTGTGTATTGTAACAAACTCGCCGCTTGTACACATCTTTCAGCTGACACTACGGTTCCTGAGATTTGGTATCACACTATATCACCTCCAGGCAAGTATTATTTGGAGATGGGACGCGCCGGGGCTAGCTGGTTAGCATGCTAACTTCAGTAGAAATCTCAACACAATACATAGATGTCTTTGACTAGTCAGACCTGTTACTTCTGTACAATCTGTTCTGTACATTCTGACAATGTTAGTTTGTTTTTGAATGTTTTAAATGCTCTAAATATCTTAAATTCCTACACATTGCAACTTTAAAACACCAATAACAGTGAGGTGGTGAGGTACTAAGAGACAAAATGGTGAGCTTTTATAGAGCTCACCTGTTTAAATTATGTTACGCATAATTAAGTACGGGCTGCCTTGAGTGAAAGGTGGTTGCCACCCACTAGGTGGTTAAGCAACCAGGCTTCATTCAACACACCACAGCTCCACCTGTTTGCCCAGTTTTGGATTAGTCAGAGTTGGGCACTGCCAAGGAAGCAATGGCCAGAGCAGGCAGGAGCAGACGTCAGCGGCTCTTCAGAAACCTATGGTGACGTCATGTTTTATACAGTCTATGGGCGAGACGAACTTCCTTATTAGAATATGATTAGTCATTGTAATGTAATTTTAGTCTAGTCAGTCTAACAGCAACCAAGATGTCACAATGTCCAAATTATTCAACCTTATTAAAGCTTAATACACAGTAAGTAGCCACCCCATGCAGAGGATCTCACCTTATTAGTGCCACTAAAATCTCAAACACAGCGTTCTGTTATGTGCTACAATTTGATCCTATTTCTCAGGAAGTCTTAGGAGTGAGCTAGGGAATTATGCAAACACACACTGTCTCACTACACTGTCACTAACCTGCATCCCCCCTGTGTCCCTCAGTGAAGCTAGGACTTGAGCATGGCCCTCCTTGGTCTGTCCCATAGTTTGCTTTATGTAGGAGGGAAAGTCAAATGTAATTGTGAGAAATATAAATAAGACTAAACACGAAGTGCATCTGGTACAAACAATCACAGTACGAACGAGCACAATACAGAATGAAGCACAGCACATGTCGCTACAATTAAATACAATGAACATCCAACAGAGACACATATCGAACCACTGGACTGGCATCAACCCAAAATTATGAAATGAGAAACAGTCACACTTCTGACACAACAGGCACATCACAGCGCTCAACTTTATCTACAACAACTTCCCTGAAGGGTTGCAAAATACCATGTTTACACAATCTATCAAGCTGGATTCTCGACCAAATTCAGTACCGTCAATTGGTGACTGAAAACCAAATTCCTAAAAGAAACCTTTCTGACCCCTTCAGATAACCTATTTCACATTATTCATTGAGAGAAAAATGTGGGACAGTTAAAGCTATTTGTAAATAACACACTACACAGAAATAGTTGTATGAAGATGGATTCTACTACATCCACTTTCTCTTCCGTGAATCCCCAGGCTATTTTTATACACACTACCACATGCTGTGTTTTGGAAAAGTGCCAGCTACTGCTGCCGGATTACTGGGATGACCCTCAGACAAGCTGCCGGACCTCTATCAACCTAACCAACCACGCTGACTGACATGCTGACCAATCAAAGGAGGGTTCGGGGGTGGGGGGTGGTCTTTGCGATGGGTTATGGCTTTTTGTTCACTTACAGTCTATCTCTGAGCGTGTCCTCTCAGCTCTGGCGTGTTTGTTGGTGGAGCGGATGGTGTGTCTGACTGCAGAGATGGGCTGAAACAAAGACAGAGAGAGATTGATTAAAAGAAAAGGAAATAGGTTTTGCCTTTAGGATTTATTATTTTTATTAAAATATCTAATATATCCGTGCAAATAACACTTGGCCTATAGCGTACACTGGTAAGTTACTGTGCTGTCGCTGTATTTACATTGCGACAACTCCCAGTCGGTTTTCCGCTGCCACAGCCGCTTTTAACTCCCGTGTTACATTCAGTAACAGTTCCAGCTCATTATTTGTCCATACAAAAATTCTTCTGTAACTGCGGGATAAACCATCTGCTTCATGTTTACATCGTCACGCGCATGCCCAGTGTACGTGAACGGCCACTAGATGTGCGTTTTCAGTCGTTTTAATGTAGACGGAGATAAACTCTGATGCGCAGCTAAAACACTGGTGTGGACGGAGATCTTATTCATTTTAAAACTCCGTTTTTAAACTAAAACGGAGTAGTATGGATGGGGCCTTAGAGGAACACTTAGAGGACAAGACACGTGGGTAAAGTGTCATAAAATTATATAACACTAACGTTGCATTGCCTTGAGATGTTTATCTTTTGAAATAATCTCTAGAGAGAAATTTTGTATGTCAAGTTAAAACTGAAGTGAGAGCTACTTTTTGTACTGCGTCTATGGATCATGACATTATTATGCATCCCAGGGGATGTTTGTTTGCAACAGGCTCCACTACTTGCAGTCAATAGGCTTCGGGGGTTATTCATTCATGGTGGCCAAGACAGTGCTACTGCTGTCAGGGGAAGAAAAGCACAATGGTCTTTTAAAACTCACTGGTACCACCTCTTTGGCTGCCACATAGATGTGATGTTGATACCCGTTGGAATAATAATGTCGAAGGGGAGAATCGAGAAGAGGGGGAGGGGACATTTTAGGGGAACATGAAAAAAGACTTTAGAGAAGCTTACCTTTTATCGGTCATTGCCAAGTTGCTGAAAATACATACTGTGCTAATATTTACATTCACAGCTGTTCAAAAGTCTGTTCTACTATAACAAGACAGTCAAAAGCATCAACAATACATTTTCCTATTTCCAGGTATAGACTTTCTAAAAGGTTGTTGTTTATGTTAATGTATTGGGTTAGGTAATAATGAGCGGGACAACACGCGATAAATGTCTATGTAAGTGCTGAAAACAAGTATAATATTATAATTATTTTAATTATGGTGAAAATGGACAATATCTGGTTTTACAGATATTTGTCATGACACCCAGCTTGAAACTGGGCCAAACCCAGACAAACTGGGACATTTGGTCACTATAGTCTATATCTTTGATCACTTCTGTGTAGGCTATGCAGACTTTTAATTTCATTCTTAAATTTCTCAACAAAGAATTTCCCCCAGTCTCGGTGTTATTGACATTATGGAATCAGACATCACCTCAAGGTCATCGTCGTCCACCTCACTGTAATGCTGGTGGTTGTCTGGGTTGTTCATCTTATCTAGGAGGTCAACAGCAAGCCCTCTTGTCAAACACGTCTGGGACACATACACATGCTGCAAGAAACAATAAGGCAAGTTACAAAAAAAACTGGTGCATAATTTAATAATAACAGTTTATACTAGCAGTCTGATATCCCTAATCTCACATCCAACGTCCATATAAACTGGAACATCAAAATCCCTGCAGAACTGGATATCAAAGACCTACTTTCACTGTTATAGAGTAATTAAACCGTCTGTATTAATCATCAGATTCCTGAACCATAAGGAGCAGACACCTTTCCTCAGAGACATGCACTGTGTTAATAATAATAATAATAATAATAATAATAATAAGAAGAAGAAGAAGAAGAAGAAGAAAGAAGCACCTGAACTGTCCATTTCTTAAAAGATATTTGGTCTTGGTGCATGCACACAGGATGAAGCCTCAGTATTCTTCCTTTTGAGTGAGGCTTCGTTGTCATTTTTAAGGAATTTACCATAAAACTTCAGTTAATAGCCGAGTCCCAAATAGCCGCCTACCCCGTTTACTGACATGGTCAGGGAACTCATTTTGACAAATAAACGCAGGTCTTGATTAGATGCTTGGTCTGGTCAGAACCACTCAGAAGATCAACTGAGATCTACTTCTTTGTCGGGTTTCATAAATGGTGAATGATATTCTAACTAAAGGAACTGTAAAAGACAGGACACAGACTTTTGAGACTTAGCTAACATGCAAATTTTCTATTGTGAAAAGGTTCAGGCTAAAAAACTGCAATACATTATTTGTGGAAAACATTTCAATCTTCTACCATACACTGTCTATGATATGTCAGAGATAGCTAGATTTAT